GTATAAATAGTTATATTCCCGTATAATTTGAAGTATTCGTTTTCAAGTGTTGTTTCTGGTGTTTACGGCTGATATGGTGTTGTGGTCTCGGTAAGATTAAGGTTATTTTCTCTTTCTTTATGTATAAGTTTCGTTACAGTATAGTGCCCTTGTGTGTATTATGTTCCCTCAAGACATCCTAATATGTATGGTCAAAGTTTTCCGTGTGTTTGTTCCATTTATGGCATTTGTCTGATAAGTTGATTGGATTTTTTATAATGAATAATTATAAAACCCTCTGTAATTCTCTTTTTTTAGCCGGGTGTTTGAATGCGGTTTATTTATGTGCTCATGTTCAACGATGTGTGGATGTTTGCCATGATTATTTATTATTATTTCTGTTCTCATAGGTTATGTTGTGTCCTCTACGGTATGTTTTAGAATCGCTCGGTTTTGTTCGTAAAGATTATTTCTTTGTCCGCTTGCAAAATTGCTTTATATAGTGTTTGTTTGTAGAAGTATTTTCTGAAGTTCGTAATTTGTTTGTTTTACTCGTATAATTGCTGAATGTCAGCGCATCATCTTCCTCAATGTTTTCCTTGGTAATTTCACACGTTTTTTGCATGCATGTGGATGTTGTTTCTTGTATTTAATGTTGTTTATATTTCGAAAAATGTCAGGTTAGTGAAGTGAAATCTAAAAATCACATGTTTAAGAAGTTACGTTTTAAGAAGTAATTTAGTACCTTTAGTTAAATGAATATTTGTGATTGCCTACATATTCATTATGGAATCTCCGAAACTCTCGTAATTAAAACTACCATAATTCCTTTGCCTTACTTATTGTTACTTATTATTGCGACTTACCTTTCATCAAAGTTATTAATGTAGAACATAAATTCCAATCCGTAAAAAATTATATGGTTGAAAACAGTCAAAGAATAACATCATTTTTTTGTTATCGTTTTAGAATATGCTTTTCCTTATTTGGTTTATTTATTTCGGTATTACTTTTCGTTTAAAAATCTTACTGTTCTACTAGTAAATGTTCTATTGACTTAATGCTGCAGGATATTCCTTATACATGTATATTAGGGTTCTCACTATTGAATTAATCGTATATTCCATTGGTGAATAAAAACTATTTGGTTTCGATTATTAATAAAGCTAAATGACATCTTATAAAATACCGAAATCTGCCAAATTGACCGATATTATTACCAATATTATACTCTCTAAATCGAGTATCGACTTTCACTAAAATATTTCGGAATTGTTGGTATGCATGCATCTAAAACATATATCTGTATAATTCTGTATCTGTTTGATGAATGTGAAAGACCCCTAAATATTTTTGGTCACATGCCAACCGTTTAAGGCAAAGGTCTCCAAATTATTTTATGTTTACAGACATATGTACACGTACACAAATCTTCAGTATTTTAAGCATACATTGTGTTTGGTAAGATTTTTTTGAAGATCGCACGCGTCCCACTCATGGTGCCAGCAATAAACATTTGCCAAATTTTTATGAATGCATAAAGATAAAATGAATTTGCTTTACGCAATATGAAATTATATACTTATACATACATATGTATGTAGGCATGTACGCTCGACTTAATTGAATTATTGTTTAAAATAAAAATAAGAATTTTTATAATGTTATGAAACAACAAAGTGAGCAAACATCCAGTTAATGACGTGTATTTGCTTACGAATTTTTTGTCCAGCAAAAACTTTCAATAGTCAACACATTTTATATAAGCTTTTACAAAAGCGTTTTTTAAGCTTTTAAGATCACAACGCTGTTAAAGGCTTTTATTGCTTAATTGGTATATTTGTTAAGTTTTTGTTTTTAATTTTTCATATCTTAAGAATACACAGTCAAATTGTAGAAGAAAAAATTTAATCAAATAAAAATTGGTAAAAATCTGATAGTTATTAGATAGACCATTTGTTTCCAACTAATCACTCAATTTGATGATTCAAATGTAGGTTTGAGAAAAGCGTGTTTAAAGAGCTGATCGAACTGAGCTGCTACACTTTAGAAAGCTGTTACTCAAAAACTATTTGAAATACTTTAGTGTGTTATTTTTAAATGTATAACCTATCAAAATATAAAAAAAGCTTTATTTTTAAGTCGTACTAGGTGTGCCTTATAATTCGCATATCTCAATAATTGCATCAATATTATTCATTTATCTACTTCGATATTATATATACCAGCTGATAATATGTATGGGTATCCAGATATTTAAATATATCAAGTCAAATATCTTAAAATGAAAAGTAACACCATCAGACGACAATTTAAAAATTAATATTGGGATAAATATAATTCATAATTATATAATCCTCCATATAATTTTAGAAATGAAAATCCGTAGCTGAACTACGTTTAACGCTCTCAGATAAATAAGTATAAAAAAGCTTTCTCATAAAAAAAATTCAATCAATTAAATATCAGAAATTCTCTATAATTTGCAATACTACATTTTCTCCAAATTTACCATATGAAAACACCGCTATTCATCAGAAATTCAATTAGCATCCCCTTAACAACTCGGAACCACATAAATTCTACCAAGCAAACTCTCTTTCATTCAACCTTTATTACTATATATTAAAATGTATGTATGTTTTGTTTAAATACAAACATACGTACATATGTATTATCTTATCAAAATCTTCGCATCAAAAAATTATTGCAATATCAAGTGCTTTGTTTATTTTTTCCAATACGGTTGCGCACATATATATAAGTACAGCTGATGATATCGTGTAGTTGAGCGATTTATCACATTTAACGCACTTAGATCGCACACACATACGCATACATAAATAAGTAGTGCATACACAATCAAATAAATGCCTTCGCGTCCGTATATATTTGCGTACCTTCGTATTTATTTATGCAAAAAAGCACACGTACAAATAAAAATAAACGAATTACTCCAGTAAAGTGCTCAACGCACGAGTGCTCACTCGCGGCTTATTAGCCATTTTAGTCGTTCACTTTCCTCACAAGCCGACGCGTCAATGGGCGAGCGTAAACAGTTTAACGGGATATTTGCAAATTTAATTTTTACGCAAAGCGGCGCAGCAAAAAACGAAAAAAAAACCATTAAAAACTGTCGAAATTTTTTGCATGTAACATTTAATGCTGCCACTTGTTCGCAATTAAAGTGATTTTTTTTATTAAAACCCACTGTAGCTTTTTAAACGCGTTTGAACGTGTGTAAATATTTAAAATATTGTTTACAATAGCAGTTTTTCATTAACTACTCGTGTTCTGTGTGCAAATCACAAAAAAACAAATATTGATTTTTGAAGAAACGTGAAAGTCGATAGAAATGGACTTTGTTTAAAAATAAACTGAAAACTGAGCTAAAAAAGGTACGACGTTTGTTTTATGAGAAACTAATTTACTAAAATTCAAAGGCTATAATTAAACTAATTGTGTTATTTTTACTTAGATTATTACGTATTAAATATACTCGCTAAATAGGCATACAAGTATATTAAGTTACGTCAGACATGCTAAGAAGAAGCCTATCGACCTGTCACCCTGACAAATACTGAAAAGTAATCGCAATCATATACAGTAACGTTCAATATCGGATTTATACTTTCGATTTTGAATTCTTAAAGTTGTAAGTTCTTTTTGGTCGTCATCCCGAATGACTCATAGAACTTATATCTTATTATACTAACGGGAATTTTCGTTTTTTGAAGAAAATTTTTATTCTTGCGCACTTATGTCAGCACTTCTTCCAATCGTCGACACTTCTCAAACTCGATTTTTGGGATAGCCTTTAGCTTTTGCAGTGATGGGCTTCTAATTTTTTTTCCACAAGCATGCTAAAGACACCTCATATTATATCTAGACTATATCTAGTACTGAAAATGATACGGACATTTTAAAGAGATGAAAGTATATCTTTAAACACCATAAGCGTACACAAGCAAGTATGATAAGTATTTCAAAAAGATAACCACTATCTATAACTACTTGTATATCCAGACAGAACTGCATTGAATTTTGCATCGAGATGAGACTTTAGACCTAACTGTCTGGCTATTAAGTATACATACAGCTTCCAAATTTAGTTGATAAGGAAACTATCAAGAAGGAAAAGATCTAGAAAGTCTAGAATCTAAAATTGGAGCGATTATATAAAGGAAATATGGCGTTAGTCTCAAATCGCAACTGGTTATATTCTTATTCGTTCTAATGGGATATATATTGTACTTAATTACGATTTATCTTAAAACATTAGTTTATAATACAACAATACAAATTCAGAAACTTTTTTTTACCATTTTTTCATCGCCAGCCAATTCGATGCAAAACTGATTTTCTTATTGTCTTTGAAGCAAAATTACACAAGTGTTTTTTCGGTTTTCCATTTGTCTTTCATTCAATTAATGTGGCACCCATTTTCCACACTTTCCCATAGCTTTCATGCGGTTTGAAATTCTTTGTTGTGTAGCATTTAACATGGCTGCCATTTGCTTTTGACACAAAGTATCGTCTTCATCCAATATTGCTTGCAGTTCGGCGTCTTCAAACTTTTTTGGTGATCTTCCACGTTCTTCATTTCTCACATCAAAATCATTATCTCTGAACCGTTGGAACCATATTTTGCATGTTGCTTCTGAAAGAGCATGATCACCATATGCCTCGACAAGCATTCGGTACGACTCTGCAGTAATTTTCTTCAAATGGAAACAAAAATTAATGGTTTCTGCAAAACAACATTTTCCGGTAAAAAATTTGACATTTTCAACGCAGTAAAAATATTTGATATTGTTTGTTCAGTGATTGCGAAGTTAATGAATGTTTGACAGATGTCATGCCAAGCAAACAGTTCACAACAAATGTTCCCTACCAACAGATTTGTAGCTTAACGCTCACTTCATACCGGTACACCTGGTATATCGAGTTCTTATAATTATCTTATCTTACTTATACTGTTTTATTTATCCATAATAATATTGATTAATTTTTGTTTGCAGGTCAATGAATATGTGTAAAACAGACAAACAAAAAACAACAACCATATATAAGTGATAGAAAAACAAAGTGAGCTTTGGTTGGAAGAATAACTGGTGGGGAAATGAAGAAAAACATATAAGGAGGCAAAAACGATTGATTTCGGTTGCCGCTGATATAAACAAAAAAAAAACAATTTACAATTCCCCATGGCAAACAAAATTGGAACCGAGAATCGTGAAGATTGAGTCGTCGAATGCAAAGAAAGCAATAAAAACTCATTAGAAAGCAACAACAAAAATCAATCAATTAATAGCGAATAGCATTAGTAATAACAAATTAGTGGTAGCAATACCAACATTGCGTCTTATATTATACCGGTGATTCTATTGGTAATAATAGCGCCGATAACCACAACAACCACACAATAACAGTGAATACAACTGCTGTGACGACAACATGATGGACGTCACAACAGCGGCTGTTAAACATAACAATAATATGAACAGTGCTGCTAATGGCAATGGCGAAATGTTGCAACAGCGTGATGAGGTCGATTTTGTTGCTGTGGCCTCGCACAATAACAACAACAATAGCATTTTCGACAACAAAACAATGACCAACGGATTGCATTCGAATTCGAATACAACTTCGACAATTTTCACGAACTCGAAAACGTCAACAAATGAACATTTACAATATCAGCAACGACAACAACAACAACACCAACAACATAAAGAAATAAAAAAGAGCAAAAAGAAAGTTGTCACAAATGAAGAACCAAAGAAAAAGAATTTCACAAAAGAGCGCCTTTCCTTGTTCTCCACGCTCGGACGACGCATCAGCCAGAAGACGGTGAAACAGAAAGACTCCAATGCTAACGAATCCAGCACAGCGCCTGAAAAACCTACAGCTATAGCGATTCCGTTAACAACAATAACAAACACGACAGCTAAAAATGCGGCCAACAGCAACAACACACCTCCCCGCCAACGTACGTTTGTCAAGAGTTCTTCAATTGGCCGTCTTTTAGGTAACACCTATCAGCAGCACGCCAAAAAGCTGGAAAAACACCAGTCAAACTTGGAGAAAGCGAAAACACCGTTAGATGGTAAATTCCATACCTATGGTGGCAGACGTCGCACTAACGGTCCCTATTTGGATCGTTTCAAGCGCTACTCCAAAGATGACGGTGATGTTATCTCAAGCAACAACAATAACGAAGAAGATGCAGAGCAACCAATGGACTTCGTCGATGTGCTGGAGTTAGAAGCAGATACCGCCGATGAATTGCAACGCGATTCTAGTGGTTTGGAACGCTTTCGTGATCATAGCACTGTAGCGGCTGGTGATGACGAGGCCGCCGCGGAATTGGGCAGCAAAACGATGCGTACGCTGTCGCGCAGCCTCGGACGGTTGTGGGGCAAACGTTTGCATAGTGTGGACATAAGCACGCCAGATCCCGAGTATAAGGTATCATATTTGGGCAACGTGCTAACCGGTTGGGCCAAAGGTGAGTCAAAGTTAGAAAACTTGGTTATTTTGCAAACTGTGGTGGTTAAAAGTTAAAATAAGAACCATACCTATTTCTAACAAAAGCGAGATACGACCTCATAAATCTCGATGTCTTGCGAATATGCAGCTAGAAAGCTTATGCAATGTAAAATTACTTCCGCCCCATTTGTTCTAGGTATTCATAAATTTATCAAGTCTTAAGATTCAGAACACATTTTCTTTGGGTTATCTACGGAATTGTTTTATGTACAAATCTATACCGAGTAAAAGATTGAACCTCGAAACTTTTGCGTAAATGCTAAGGTTACTAATTTTCTAATAGCTTATTATCGAAATCGGTCTTTAGGACCAACAGTATCTCCGTGTAAACCTGCAATATCTCAGCAAACTTTTTAGACATACTCATTTTTTTTCTTCATCATCCTAATAAGCCATTAGGTTGTATACAATAATGAAGATATTTACTTAAAGTGTATCTCATTTCCTTACCTTATAGGTGAGGGTTGCGTTGAAAAGCAACTGAACACACTGTGGCGCAACTATACCCAAAATAACAAACCCGACATGATCATGCGCATTAAAGTATGCGCCAGTGGACTTAAAGCCACCACACGCCAACACGGACTCACCGAGTACTGGGCCAATCGTATCACACATTGTTGTGCGCCGAAGAACTACCCACGCATCTTCTGTTGGGTCTATCGACATGAGGGACGTAAACTAAAACATGAGCTGCGCTGTCATGCGGTGCTCTGCAGCAAGGAGAAAGTTGTACAGGATATTTGCAATACCCTAAAAGTACGTAATTCGACCAGACTGTCTCCGTGTAAAATAAGCATACTAAAAAATTAACCTCTTCTTCTATTCCCTACAGGAGAATCTGGAACGTGCACTACGCGAATTTAAACGTGAAAAAATTCTCAAGCAGAACGCTCGTCTCAGCCTGGCTAATGCAGCGTACGAAAATCCCAGTTTGCCGCGACGTAAAATACTACTCAGCGTCGGTGGTAACAATTATCGACCACCACTAGAGCGTTCCAAGTCCGCACCGAAGTTAATGGCCATCGAAGAGGCTATCGGTGAGGAGGAGGGCGAAGATGCCGAGGACACCAATGAACCGGAAATGAAGCCGTGTTGCCAAAAGGATTCGCTATACCCCGCAATGACTTTGGGTCGCAGACGCTGTCGACGTGGACACTCAATAAGACGCACAGGCAAAGCACGTCCACTATGTAGCGTTTCCTTTGGTGAAACACAAAAGCTTAAGCATATTTTATCCGGTGACATGAAAGTAGGCACTTGCTGTCACGATAAAAAAATAACCAAAGAATGCGCCAGCCAACAGAATACTACTGCGCCAACCACAGGGCTAACCGAAGAGCAGCGTAATAGCTATGGTTCCGATGACTCGGATGATTTTGAGAAGTTGCTGAAATACAATGACTACGATGCTAATACATCCCTAGCAACTGAACTTTTGCCCTACTTCGACATGCAACTGCACAAGAACACCAGCAACAGTCTCATCGATTTGTGTGCGCTGAAGGACGACGAGGAACCGCTCAGTTTGCTGCCAACCATCAATAGTGATCCGATGGCACATCCAGAGGGTGATCTACTACCCAGGGATTGTGCGCAATGTGTCAACGGCGAGTTAGAGGAGGAAGAAGAGGAGGAAACGCATGTTGGCCTCCGACGCAATGGTGTCTGTAGCGATGGTGAGGAGGATTATTTGGATGCTGATGATATGTACTTTCGACAGGCGACAATCTTAAATATTTTACACCGCAATTCAATGCGTAAAATGGCACAAATTTCGCTGAGCAGCGACGAGGGTAGCAGCTTGGAAACGAATGCCTCGGTACCACTTCAATACCGTCACCAACCACAATCTTCTATATCGTCTAATGCCTCCTCGAACGCCACAACCAGCAGCTCGTTGCAGGAAGGACACAACGGTTCCTCAACCGGTAAACGTCACAGCGGTGCCGATAGCGATGAGGGCTCTATTTCGAGCGGCTGTGAGACGGCCAGCACCGTGACGGCCAACCAAGATGATCTGTCATTGCAATACCGTCACGACAAACAGCTCCTACAGCTACAGCAGCAACAACAAGCAGCATTACTGGACAGCGACGACGCACACTTTTTCAACATGCCAAACGAGAATGAATCACTCATCACTGCCGATGAAATCTACCAAAGACTCGAAGCGCGTCTGCAGCGTCGTCAAAACAGCGACGCTACCACATTCAGCAGTTCGAGCACAATTACACTGAAGATGAGCACAGGTAGTGACGGATCCTCGCCCCACTCGCCAAATGAGTCAATCACACAACAGTCCACAAGTGAGCAACAAGCGATCGCTTTAACAAATAGCACAACACGTGTACGCCGTCAACGGCAGCGTCAGTTGGTGGCTACAACACCACCGCCACCCGACTTTCATGCCGACGACACGGACTCAGAGTGCAGCGACGAATCCGGCTATGTGGAGTATCAAGAACGCGAGAAAACGGTGCGTGAGAAGATTGGCGACGTCGAAAGGCGTCAGTTGCAACAGCAACAACTACAAGAACAACAACATCAACAACCTATTGCACAAAAACGCCAATTTAAGCCACAATTGCCACCGAAACCGTTGCCGCGACGCACGCTAAGTGGCGCCAGCGCGGCTATGTCGGTGGCAGGCACTCAGAGGACAAATAACAGTACCGCAGTGTGAATCACTGTCTGACTAAAGCAGTAAAGATTTTGTTGTGTGCTTATAATTTTGAGTACGAAGTCAAGCATATACGCTGCAGAACAGTGCGATAAGACTTTGGAAGCTAACGGCAAGCGTTTTTTGTGACGCACGAATCGTGCTACAAAAACAAACCGCAATAACTTTTTTAATCAATGCATTACATTTCTTTTTTTTATTGTATAGCAAATTTTATTTTATATAATTAATTATTTTCAAAATATCGTAAATTACCTCCATGCTCAGCCACGCATATGCGACACTATTAGAAAATTATTCATTGCGGCCTGAAGGGTTGAAGTCGGAATTGCCTCAAATATCGATTTAATGGACTACTTCAATTCAGTCAGATTTCTGGGTTTTGTTGCTTGTCATAGCCCCATAAAAAAGTGTGGTGCAGTCAAATCAGGCACCTTGGGGCCAGCATAAAGTGGAGTTTCTTGATATTAATTTGTTTTCAAATTTTCTTTGGAGCACACAAACCGGTCTGGCTATGCGCGCAGTTGCTCCATCTTGCTGTAACCAAACATTATTGAAAGGGATACGTCTTTAGCGCAATTTTGGGTAAAAAATTCTCATTCAATATCTTTAAATAACGGTGCCCATTCACAGTTACTGTTAGACCGTTTTCTTTAAAGAAGTATGGCCCGACAATACACCTTGATGAAACTGCGCGCCACACAGTTACTCGTTCTGCGTGAAGTTCCGCCTCGGCGATTAGTTTTGGATTTGATTCACTCCATATATGGCAATTTTGCTTGTTTACGTTTCCGTTTAAATCAAAATAGAACTCATCAGATGCTGCACTATCCAAACCTTCTTTTTGGTATCCCAAGCATTCAATTTTAAAAAATGTAAATAATAGCCTGCCAATTAAAAAAAAAGGTAAGTCAATTACTCACTCTGAAAACAAGTTATTACGGTTTGGTTTTGTAGCACGATTCGTGCATCACCCTGTAAATTGTTACGACTATGTATTGAATGCATGTTAGGAAATTTTTGTTGTTCAAAATTTAAAATACGTCAATTTTTTATAGAAAATTCTATAGGAAAAGTGTAGTCTTTTGGCATCTAACTAGAATTATTTTAAGCTATTGTATTTTTTTTTAATTTTTTCTTTAACTTCAAAAGATGTGTACATTTACATATATTTACCGAAATTTATACTTAAATTTCACAGTGAATACTTACGAAAATATAATTTAAAACGATTATGCATCCCACAAGAGCCGAAAACACTCACATGCGCTTAGTTTTTTATAAAAATATTTTTTGTGTAAATATTAGAGATACAAATTTTCAAAATCAAAAATAATAATTTTCATCATGACAAAACAGAGTCAAAATTAAAAAAATTTATATACTATAAAGGTCTCGCGAAATTTTGTTTTCTTATGCATATATACATACATGATAGTTATTAATATATAAAAAAAACTTAGTGAATTGTAATATTTACATACACTATTAACTATCATGCTTAATAAGAAGCCAAATGTAACAGCGAAGCAAAAAAATTGTAATATGAACAGTTATTCCAAATATTAACAACCACATTATGGATTTGTACAAATTAATATTTTATGAAAGTATATACATATGTGCTAGGAAATTATCATATACATAAATATATATTTATTTACGCACATGTCTGTACACAAGCAATATACTTATAAACTGTAACATAAATCTGTTTAGGACCAAAATGAGTAGAAATAAACTTTTTTTAATTAATATTTATGTTTATGCTTGATTTTGTTATATAGTTGAGAAGTTGTGAATATATATATTTAAATATACATAACATGTGTATGTAAATATCTGTAAATTAATTATATGTAATAACTTACACACTTATGCAGAAATTGGGTTAAATTTTTTTTTGATTTAAAAAATTTGCTTTAGAAATCATTTATACTTTACAAAATTAACTCAATTAAAAAATGTTTGCTCTTTGTGCGAACAATGTTGGCGTAACAAATAAAAAAGTATGTATATATAGATCAGGGACCGTAAATAATAATTATTGTTACGAATTTTAAATGAAAAATTCAAACACTTAGAATCGACATACAAACAACCAGATGACGTCATGTTAATCCTTTTTCGACGATCTTAGCATTTCCATGATAATTTTTTAATTTTGGATCTGTATGATTTTCTTTACCAATAATGATTAATTTTGATTAAATTTAGAATTATAAATAATTATTGTTTTTGTTTTTAATCATTATTACGTGATTTTAAAATAAAACTTATAATGATTATGGTCTCTGATATAGATATATTCGAAGCATTGAAATTGCGCATTTTGAATAAAAGAAAAATATTGATACGAGAAAATTGGCTTAAAACGAGAAAATGTTGAATCGAAGTCTTAAAAAAGAAATACATACATATATATGGTACAAACACATAACAGTTTCACGGGCAATTTATAGATTGAAACAATGAATTAATATATTATTTCTATGGAAATGCAAGCATTTATCGACTACACATTTTTTTCCGCACTTTAACGTCAACATATAACATAAATATACTTATGTGGCTACATATGGAAAAAAAACTCACCATAAGTTCACAACGCACATAAAAACCTATACAAATTATTATTTTTCCTTATCACCCATTTGTACATATAAACACATTTTATCACATTATTGTTCCATATTCATTGGCTTTACCATTAAAGTTAAGACTTGTTATATTATATAATTTACATATACAATTGCAAGCATAGATACGCACTGTTGTATAGGAAGATTATCGAAATTTCTATGTCAATTATTGTTAAAGGTGATTGCGTAGCTTAGAATGTGTATATACTATATTATATAACAGATAAGAAAATATGTATTCAAAAATGTATGTATGTACATATGTATGTGTGCAATGTTTCTATAATTCTGTAACTTGTATATATATATATATATATATATATATATATAATTAATTTGTTTGTAAATGAATTTAAAATAAATTTTTAATAAAATGTACGTATACATTTGTGCATATATTATATATGGCACATACATAGGTATTTTATTATTAATATTATAACTATAAAGAGACATATACACAAATTAAGATAAATGAATGATTAATGAAATAAGTGAATAATTTTGAAACGAATTAATAAAAATATTATTTGAATTAAAATCCAAAAAATATTTTATTTTGATTTTCCAGAGTATTATTGGTATGTCTAAAGGCACATTCCATATAAAACAGATAGACTGAAAAGTAAAAACAGTGAGTATTCTCTTGAGACCTAAGAACAAAGAAAAAATCCGGAAAATACGTAGGAAAAGTCAGTAATTCTGAGCAAATTCATTACACTTCTGTGATCGTTTTTATTGATTTGTGATATATTTTCCATTTTTTCAATTGGCGTTCTTTTGTCCTTGAACCATTTCTATAACGCTATTTATCGCTATCGCTGTTAACGTCACGTTCTGTCCATTCGGATAAATGTCTCGATTGAACTATGAGTAATGGTACTACGCTTTATCCGTTGTCACATATTGATATAGATATTGGGATTTTTTACAATGGAACAGTTCCACACAGATCGCTGAGATTTTTGGTCGATTGTGAACTCCTTTTTCCACAAATCTTTCACTACCCAAATATTCATGAGCGATATGTCCAACACCTTTCTTTGATATCTTTTGAGTGTCAACATCATTTTGTTAACACTATAACATTGTATGATAACTGTGAAATTTATGTACATGTTTTTGAAGGTTAGGTTGCGATAAAACACGGTTAAGTACCAGAAACAAACAATTCAAACTTATTGATTTCACGAAAGCGCATTACACTTATAACTATACATAATTTTCAGTCTTTAATGGTAAGTTTAACTTTAATTAAGAAATTATTCACTAATATATCTATTATAAATCAAAATGTTATTAGATAAAGTAAGATTTTTGAAAATAAGTACATGTTACACATACGCCCTGTAGACTAAAAAGTAAAAATATTTGTGATATTGCTTGTGACGTTTAATGTTTTGGAAATTGTGATCCGATAGTGCTCTTATTTTTTGCTAAATGGGAAATGTGTGACGTGCATCACATATAAAATTAAATTCATATTTTTTGAGTAAGACTGGTTGAAGCCGTGGGAGTTAGTGTTTCCCAGAATCCACAAGATTCATATCGTCGGGGCGCTTAGCACTTTGTGTTTGTGAAACCACACCACGTGAATTTCTTTTCATTTAAAGGCCTATTAACACAAAGGAACTTAACTTCAATACACTTATTCCAATGATCCTCCAATAATTTCTTTCCGGAAGCTCTAACACTAACTTTCCACACAACTTTTTTATATGTACTTCTCCATGTAAAATATAAAGTACTCGTTTTCGGCGCGTTTTGAAGGTGACGACTCCTTATACACGTTTAACAATTGTTCATAAATTTTATTTGCTTTTAAACCTTTCAAAACAAAGTATCTAATCACTTCGCGATATTTAGTTTTATCCAAAATAAAAAAAAAACAAAGTGTGGCACTCGGGGACTGCCGCGGTAAAGCTATTGCATAGCATTTTTTTTATCAACTTATGCAACTATAATTTTTATTGAATAAATGAGAAGTTAATATTGTTTAAAATATTTTTAGTTTCTTATAATACATGTAGGTTATTTAAGCGATTTTATCATTGAAACCAGGGATAAAGGGATGCCCAACTTATGCCAGTGCGCCTCAAAATTAGCATGTTTTATAACATTTTCCATTGTAGCCAGATCGGAAAAAATAATAAATTTTGGGAATTTAAATTAAAATACCCAATATTTATTAAGATTAAAAATCATTATACATGTATCCGTTAAACATATGCAGAAACTATTTAAACACTTTTTTGTGATATTGTAATATATTAAAACAATTGATTTTTTAACTTTAAACACTTAATCAAAAGAACAAATGTATTAGCTCTCAATTCATAAGTGTTTTTTATAATTTTCAATTGAAAATTAATACTACTAAGCATGGCAACACAAAAGATTTCATCACATACATTTCAATTTCGGGTTTTCTTTCATTTCCATTATTTTGATTGTAATATATTGTCGAACAATGAAGTTAAACCTTTCCGCTACAATTCTTAATATAAAGTTTCGACAACACCTGAAGGTATTTCCCCGGTTTTGATCCTTGCAAGTTACAAGAGTATGAAATATTCGGTTACACCCGAACCTAGCTCTTCCTTACTTTTTATTAATTGTTTTCTTAAAACAACAATGACAACTAAATAATCTCTAAATATCGCATACATAAATATGTCGTAAGCCCGTGTTTTATTCCCTTATTTAAAAAAATTTGATCGGGTGACAACCGTTCTAAAAATGTATTTGTCTTGTAGGCTGGGCCATAGCAATAGTACTTGTAATTCCTTTATGTTATGTAATTTATAATTTTTCGATTTCTAAAGAGGTGGCTTTCCTAACCGCCTTAGTATGTACAAGACAATTCTGTTAACGTTAAGTAATGCGTAAATTAGGTAAAAAGAAGATAAAAAATAATGAAATAATGAAAAAAATGTAAATTTTGTGGTTTTCCAATTTCCTCAACACATTCTTTCAATTAGTTAATATTTCGTTTGCAACATTGATGCAATATTTTGCAACATGTTTCACAACTCTCTCTCTCTCGCGCATAGGAATTCACACACACACCCATAGCGTATTTGTACATTTTTGTTTGCGGTTTTTGCAAGTTAATAAAGAGGCATAAAAGAATCGAGTAAGATTATACCTGCCTTTTGCATAACTTATAACAATATTCATATTATATAGATATAGATGAGATCCAACAAGTAGATATGTAGATATCTATGTATTCGAGTAAGTCAAAAAAAAAACAATATTTTAAACATTTTTTTAATTCAAAAAATATTATATATACACATATCTATGTATAGCATATACACATAAACATATGTACATATGTATATGATATGCTTTGACGGAAAATTTGAAAAGACCATTTTGTACAGCAAACCTACTTCTACGAAACTAAGAGGTTTCCGATTGAGATAATGATTTTATTCATTGAGTTATAAAATTCATAAGAAAAAACAAAATTTACTTTAAAATAATCAAACTTTAGCCGTAATATCTTTTAAACGGTTAGATTTACAAAGAAATCGAAAGAGACTTTTTTGTAGAGCATTCAATATTCTGCCATTTTATATTTACAATAACAATACATATTTTGGGTTTTGTTAAACTATTTTAGTTATGAAGAAACCACATTATTTCACTAAAAAAATTTATAGTAATTTTAATTGCAAGTAATACGCCGTTAAATACATTTCTGAATATATTTTCAAAGCTACATTGCGTCAACCACACTGCTCACTCCCCTTGCCGCTGCTCCACAACCGACTCACTCGCTGCACGAGTCATTGACGATGCCGCGTTTCTGCAGCAGCGTACAAACAGTACCACGGAAGTCGTACAACGAAGCATCCTGAAGTTGTTGATTGAAAACCTGTCGTGGGAAAACAAAATTTAAAGAAAAAAGCAAACAAAACTAGGCATTTAAAAAGGTTATGTAATTGCAAATTTTCACTTACACCATCGTAAATGATGGTTGGCACAAATAAGGGCGAATACTGATTTGTCACCTGCTCTGCCAATAATTGCAACTGTGTGCCCACGGTCGTTTTAACACAACCGTCAACGTCGCTGCTGAGACCCACCAAGTCGGTGCACTTGAGAATAAACATATGATTATTTCAGTAAAAATATAAGTTGTCTGCCCCTTACATCTTCCACGTTCTGTTTATCCTTCGCCAACATTTGACAGATGGCAAAGCGTACTCGCTGATCCTGCGTGCTTTGCTGATTCAAGACACAAGATTGCAAACGATTTCCAGCGCATTCCGCAGGTCCATGCTGGCAATAGAAATCACTGCCAAGGTTGACAGACTGTTGAGGAAACATCGAATAATACAATGCCTAATTAATAATATATAATTTATTCGTAGTTGCCCTGTACGACAATTCATGTATCAATCTTTCAAAAAATAAATAGATTAGGGATCATTATGGATATACGAGCGCTAGAGAATGGAGAAATTATTTATCTCTGAGAGAGACTTCAAAAGAAGAACTTATATAATCATTAATCAAAATATGTACAATGATAAGTCTGTGAATCTTTCACACATAGGTATATTAGCAGATATGTGTCAGAACTCTTACAATATAATGTATAGGCACACTTTTCTAAAAGACAGATTAAATTATAGCTATTACACAATGTCAGTGAAAGTACCGCATAAGGCGAAGGAGCTATGAAAGGTTAGTTCTCCTGCTTACGCTAACCGAAATTCGTTTGAGCGCAAAAGACGCTGAGTCGATTAACATCTTAATTGCTAATGAACCTGTATGAACACAAAGATGCTAATAAAACTCCTCAACTTACTCAACCAGGTTACTAAGAGGGATCATACATAATACTCACCAAGGTTGATAAATCTAGGCCAAACATTCAACGGTCGCTGAAGAACATGTTAAGGGATATCTGACTTATGATTTGGGATGCCGGTTTAAAAAAACTTAAAAAATATAGTCTATCAAATGAGAGACACTTTATGCTTAAGAACTGTAGTAACTTTACTTTGCTTCTAAGTCATTCTTAACTTAAATCTTAAGCAGAAGATCTCTTTATCAAAACCGTCATTGGATGACTTATTCAAAAAAACGTTAGGAAGACTTTTAGGCTCAATTATTCATTTTGCATTTTAATATGATTACTTGTTCTTGAATTTTTTTAAATAAATTAGCTAAATCATTAAAACCTTAATCAAAATAACTTACACGTGATTTCCCGAACGGCACCAGATTTATATTTAAGTTCTGTTTGAGATTTCCATAGGCTGGTGCCAGCTGCCTGCCCATGAATCGAATGCTGTCCGGACAAAGAGATTCATACAAAATGGTAACGTCAAGCTGAAATTAACGGAAAATACGCAAATAGAGCTCAATTTTATTTTTATTGGTGGATACGAAGCATGACCCAGTTGAAAAAAAAAATCATATTTAAAACCGCTGTGTCAGACACTTTTGTGTTACTTTGTGAGGGTCTGTACAGCACTTATTAGTTTATAAATCTGTTGTACATAACATCTAAACCACATAACGCTTACGTGGCCTCACTTGCATTTATGAAAAGTAGACATATCTCAGAATCTGATGGATCAGCTCCAACCAAATTTGTAATAAAATAATATATAATATGTCTACACGTAAATAATTGTCCAAAATAAGGATACTTCTCAGAATTGCATTACTACAAGTATTATTAATAATGCAAGGTAGAATACTTATATTTCGAATACAACATGCACAGTTCAAAATTTCAAAGAAACCTGCTTCACATTCTTTCAGGGTGTTTAGTTCTCTTAAAGAACTCAAATTATTAAAATTAAACATCAGCTTTATAAACAACAGTAAATTTGCTGAATATAAAAAGGTATGCGGTTTGTTTACTTTTGTAATAAAACAATAAAATTATTCAGTAGCAACGAGAATCTGGTGACGAAAACCGAATTTCGAAATCAAGATCACTTAAAAACACAACTCGAAACCAAATTGATCGTATTATTAAAAATAATTTTTTTTTAACAAATGATATGGACTACTTTTTAATCCGATTTTTTTAGCAGTTTCGAATATTACACTAGTGTAGAAGTATTTGTAAATGATAAGTAAAAAATTAATTCATCGTAGGACGAAACCCGTCGGAAACGAAAGATAGAATAACAAACATTAAGGGAAAAATAATTTACGGGCAATCTAAGGTCGGAAAAAGGTAGGGGAGGGCGTGGTTGAATTTATAAGGGTTAAAAACGATTTCACACTAACTTAAAACCAATTTCAACAATCTACATAAAAAATATTTACCGATTCGGTTAGCGCGCGCAATATTTCGACCAATCCAATTGAGAACTGTATATTTCGAATGAATTTAAGATTTTTCTTCAATTTTCGTATTCGTCTGGATGTTATTCAATAAGAAAAAACTCAATTTTTGGAACTCCGCCAAAACTTTTCCCAAAGAGTTTATACGTAAAAAAATATGCTAGAAAATTTGGCATTCCTACAATTTAAGTTTTGTCCAACTGAGATTCAAAACAAGATATAACATCTTTACTTTAAATTAAGCCAAAAGTTGATAAAAACTTAAGGCTCTCGCAACAAAGTTTTAAAAGAATTTTGAGTTTAATGATTGGGCTGCTTCCCTTAAGGTACTTAAGGACCCACAAACTCGAAGCCTTGGCGAAGTTTAATCAGTTGCTGATTTACTCTGGAATTCTTAAGAATAGTATAGACTTTCATGGACTTAAACTTTCTTATTTATGATTTTTGCACTTTATAATATCACTTTTCCTTTAAATTTTTTTCTCTGCAATCATTACAAATTTGCTTACAAAAGGCGTTAGACATCGCTACGGTCTAATGCGCTTGTAATTAAAATCAGATATTTATAAGAAGTTTTCACGCCTTTACCTTGTTTGCAGCAACACTTTGGCCGCCTTGTGCGCCCGTCGACACAACAAACACAAATTGGAGCAATAAAAACACCGACCATTTAATTTCGGTTTTCAACATTGCGACGAGTTTCGGTAGCGAACCGTAGCCGAATTCTTATGACCTTAATGAGCAGCTAAGATTTACGAGCATCCGTCTTTGAGGTGCCTTTTTATTTTAATTTCGTTCTATTTTTTATTAGTTTATTGCTAAACACAGCAAATTTGAATTAACTTCGCGTAATCGAACAAACAAATAATTTGTATAGTTTTGGCAATAGCTTTGTTATTCCTATTCTTATGTTTTACTAAGATGACGTTAAGGTACCGTTAAAAAAACGCTTTCGCGTACGCGTACAAAAAAAGCTCCACGACGTCTTTACGTTTTGGCAGTACGCAAACGAATGGAGAACACTGTTGGCGATTTCTGTACTACATATGGTCTCTCATGACTACCGACATCAACAACCAATAAAAACAACAGTCGCATAAGCGCCAGCCGATGGCCAGTAAGCCTTTGTGTTGGGCGCTTAAGCTTACCCGCACGCCTTGTGGTTAAGCCGGTTTCGAAGGTGCAACCGATGGACGAACGTTTACTCCGCGCAAACTGTGTACAAGTATGTATGTATGTGTGTGCATACGTATGTTAAGACGAACATATGGAACAATATCTCACATTAGCGGCAGGTGAACGTGGGAAGAAACGAAGCACAGTGGTGTGTGCTCGCATTCAATATACTCAAATCTTCTCAAGGATTAATAAAAGTACTGTTATATAGTCCATCAGAATGCCACATCTAAGAATCTTACTATTTTGATTTTGATACGAATTTATAAACACAGAGTGACATATTTGACTAAATTTCCTCTGAGACGTAATTTCGAGTAACAGTACAACTCAAGAAAGATCCAATAAACAATATTTCGGCTCGAAATATAAGAGTCCAATGATCAACTCGGTTTCAGAAGTTTAAACCTTGTCTATTTTTGTAACAAACGTCTTTAAAACGATTTCTAATCTTGGAGATAACCGCAAGAATAAAATTATGTTCTATAAATGTTTATTCAGTGATGCATCACGTAAGTAAAGAAGTGAAACAAGAAAGGGAAGCATATGAACCTCCTTGTAAGTATACTACACAGAATAAATGCATACCATACTATAAGTTCCACCTTAGAAGCCCCTTCCTTCTCTCGTTCATGACGTCATGATCTATATTTTCTGCCTAACACACGCTATAAACATTAACGAACGAAATTGTCGTAAGCTCTCTTTCAATAATTATTGCAAGCTTTGCGATCTGTGCGGTCAGGCAGTTAGTATATGTATCAAATATTGTTAAGATTTCTTTTTCAAGTTTAAATGTTTGTTTTCAGCAAACATTCCAATACATGTATACCATAATTTGATTATATTAGACTGTGTTACTAGGGAACGTGCTTCCTTTTATGAAATTTTTATACTCTCGCAACATGTTGCTACAGAGTACAATAGTTTTGTTCACCTAACGGTTGTTTATATCTCTTAAAGCTAATCGAATAATAGATAAAGAGTTATATAAATGATCAGGTTGACGAGACGAGTTGAAATCTGGGTGACTGTCTGTCCGTCCGTTTGTCCGTGCATGCGATAAAATTGAGATATCTTGATGAAACTTGCTACATATGTTCCTTGGGACCCAAAGGAAGTTGATATTGCAGATGGGCGTAATCGGGGCACTACCACACTCACAAACACACGCCCCCCTCTGAATGGTTTAATATCTTCCAAACCGCTGAAGCTAAATCAACCAGATTTGCTGACAAGAAGTCCCGCAGCACATACTGTGAAATCAGATAACAACCACGACTTCTAGCCATAAACGATTATATTATATTGGAAACTACTAAAAGTGTGAGAACTCATTGAATAAATGCGTCACAAGCATTCAATTTCACAACCAAGATGGTAGGGAAGGACATTCGAAACACTCCTATAATAAACTGTAAATGGGCGAAATCGAATGACAAATTCAATTAAATTCCATCTGAATATTTCTTTATATAAACCTAACATCACTGTAGTTATCAGAATAAAACTTTTTCACGTATTTAATCTTAAGCCCAAACATTGTCGAAATCATCTATAATTTTTCAAGGACCCAGACATTAAAAATAAAGACTGCAGTGAATATGGTTGATTGTTCCGAACATATCGGTCAATCTGTACGGTATTGAAACTCTGGGAGAATATTTTTGTGATGACAGAAATTCCTTGTGCCAAAAATGGGTGAATTCGGGACAATACTTCCCTTAGCACCAATATGCGGTCAATATGTAAGAAATCTTAATGAAATTTAGATATAATCTCTTTTTAATAACTTTGTATTCGCTTGTTTAAAATTGATGAAATCATTGCAATCATGTTCATCCCTGAACACCTGGAAGTATTTCCCCGCCATTGATCTTTAGAAATTGCGAGAGTATAAAATGTTCGGTTACACCCGAACTTTGCCTTTTTTGTTTTAATAGTTAATGTCAAATAACCTTTTTTTTATGTATTTCTCATGTCTTTCTGATGTATATTGTGATGATTTTTGGAATTTTGCGTTTGCGTTTGCGTTTGTCTTCGTATTTTATCACTCAAAAACCCATTAGGTTCGCTTCGTAACTGCTAGGACCTGCTATATAGCTATCAGAACAAGAATGCAAGTTACTTTCACATAACGGAAAAGGAAAACTAGCAGCTCTCTCTGCTTCTTACACTCTCAACTTGTGCTCTTTTCTGACAGTTTTTTTTTTGGGTTAAGAAACGCCTTTCAAGCAGAAACTTGGCTCGCTAATTATAGTTAGCAGTTATGAAACAAACCTACTTTTATTCGCCGGAATATTCTAAAATATAATATAATCTTGAATATAGTAAAATATATTATAAATAATAAAATATTAGAACTATTTAAATTTTCATGATTCACAACCCATTGTACTTAAAACATTATAAACTTCTTTCGTTTTATTACCAAAACTATTAATCGTTGTCGATAATTAATATACTCGGTATTTTAATTAATTCGAAGAAGTTCAAAAATTTCTTATCCTCCGCAAGTTTGTTCCATAAAATTATAATTTATATTTATGATGTTTTTATTGCTTTCTTCTTCATACACATTCATATCTTTTCGTTGCCATTTCAAATCAAAGATTTTTATATTTTATCATTTCTCCTCGGATTCTGCTACACAATGGACTTAATTATTTTTATTTTTGGTATTTTTTTCTCTGCTTGTTTGCACTTTCTGTTCGTCAACTTTTTGGGATAAAAACAAACTTTATACAAAGAAGTCTATTGATAGTAGTGAAATTGAGACTTGGCGAAAAAATCGACAACATGTGTGTGTGTGTGTATCTACTTTTGTGTATATCTAAACTTCAATTAACACATCTTGGAATCTTAAAATCTATTATAACAAAAATTTTAAAAATATCTTTTTAATACTCATTATCGGAGTCTTAAAGACAGTATGAGTAAAAATATTGATAACCATGCAACGGTGAAAGTTTTTGCCGCTTTATGGTATTATATCACCTTCGAAGGCAAAAGCTCATAAAGAGGTTTTGACCTTGGTTGAGCTCTAAACTCTTTCCTTAAAAGGTTAGATCTGTCTGGGGTTTTCACTTTATACTTAAAACTTCCGAATTTAGGACACTTTTTATGGAAATGGAAATATAACTTTTCACACCAAATGTATTGATGGTGGAAATGAGGTAACAATGGTAGTGTTTTATAGATCGCCCGCAAGTTCAAGTAAACAGTTTTGCGTATTTTTCAGGGCAAATATAGAAGAACTGATCGCAATTATGATTATGCAATAAACGTGTAATAGTGGGAGATTTCAATATAGACTGGGGTATTGAGACCTTTTATAAACAACAGTTGAGAGCATTTTAAATGACAATGGATTGGAACAAAAAACGCAAGAATAAACAAGGACAACAAATATCTCAAGAACAATTATTGATTACATAGTCTCAAATATGCACACAATATAGAAGGTCATATTGATGAATATCTTCAAATATCAGACCATGAGACCATTCAAATAGAAGTAAAAAAAATCCAGAAACTAGATCACTAATAAACAAACAAAAAAATTCGTTTCAGTATGACAAAGAATATTTCAAGCAGAAATTTTTTAAAAAACAATATGGAATATGAAGAAGAATGATCCATTGAAAAGAACGCGAAAAAGACAGAAACGAGTTTAAAGGATATAATAAAAAGCCATACAAGACAAAACAACAAAAATTAAAAAAAACAGTGAAAGATGGGAAATATACACGAAAATTAGAAATAAATAAATATGAAACTGAGGTAAAAAATGCAAAAAAAAAATATATAAGTACAATAATACAATGGTATGATTAACACCGAGAGACAAAAGCAAATGTGGAGAAAGGAACTAGTTTTATTAGAAGAAATTTCAGAAATTGACGGTAGAGTTTAGTGGAGTGGAATGTAGTGCCAGCGCAGTAATTTCGAAGAAATTTAATGAATATTAAAAGTATTGAAGAAATCAGCGAATCGATAGAGTATGTTCAATATTGTAATCATATTTAAAATAAAAGCAGCGAATTTAAATTTAAAGAAGTTACAATCGATGAACTGTAACATATGTATGAAGATTAAAAATAAGCTAGACTTTGATAAAATTCATAAGGGAATCTTGATAAAAAATTCGGAAAAAATTTTATATAGCCTACTGCATTGGATTAATAATTCGAAAGGAGTCTTTCCTTAATCACTGAAAGACTCAATTATAACGCCAATAAAGAAAATAAATAAAGCAAAGAAGGTTGAAGATTCAGGCTTATTAATACGTTAAAAAACATAGAAAATTTTTTAGAAAGTGTTGTCAAAAACCAATGAAGGAATATTTGGAGAGCAATGAACGTTCCCACGACAGTCGGGTCTACGTAACCGGAACGGACCCGGATTTATTCCGGCCAAGGACTGTCAACTCGGTAGAATTCTGCCGCTACAACAACAACAACAACAGCAATGAACTTCTTCCGAAGCTCCAATCGGGCTTTCGCAATATTATTATATCAAATGAATTCATTTACATTCTCTGATTATATTATTGATGAATGGAAGCAGAGATCGTTCTCTGTCCATACCATCAGCATTTTTGTCAATTGTAAGTGAAATGAAAACAAAAATTTTACTGCTTTTAGCGCCACCTAGCGCTAACGTATTGTCAACAAATTGAAAATCTTGGCTACTCTGTTTTCTTCACACTCAGCAGGGAACTCCTCTCCAGCAACACATGGTTCAAAAGCAAAACAAACCAGTCGAAACAAATAAATAAAATTCCTTCGCCATCAAAGATTAACCGAATAATAAATTTACTAATACATAAATAGTCACACAATGCCTAAAATAAAAACTGAAAAGAAAACGCGGATACACCAAGAGGTGCAAAAACAAGGTAAGTGCAGTAAAAGATATAAATTCTTGCTCACAGTTTGACTGATTTTTACTTGGCACGTAATTTCCATCTAGGCATCGTGTTCAATAAAGATTTTGGCCAACATATACTAAAAAATCCTCTTGTCATACAAAGTATGCTGGAGAAGGCTGCATTGCGCAACACAGACATCGTATTGGAAATCGGTCCGGGTACCGGTAATATGACGGTACGCATGTTGGAGCGAGCAAAGAAAGTCATTGCCTGTGAAATCGATACAAGATTAGCTGCAGAATTGCAAAAACGTGTACAAGCTACGCCATTGCAACCGAAATTACAAGTGCTTATTGGTGATTTCCTCAAAGCAGAATTGCCTTTCTTCGATTTGTGTATTGCCAACGTGCCTTATCAAATCAGTTCTCCATTGATTTTCAAATTATTGCTACACCGACCACTATTTCGATGTGCCGTTCTAATGTTTCAGCGTGAGTTCGCACAACGCTTAGTTGCTAAACCGGGTGATAAGCTGTATTGTCGCCTGAGCATCAATACCCAGTTGTTAGCACGCGTCGATATGTTAATGAAAGTTGGTAAAAATAATTTTAAACCACCACCAAAAGTTGAGTCAAGCGTGGTGCGCTTGGAACCAAAGAATCCTCCACCACCAGTTAATTTCACAGAATGGGATGGCTTAACACGTATCGCATTCCTGAGGAAGAACAAAACTCTAGGTGCCGCGTTCAAAATCAGTTCGGTGGTTGAGATGCTAGAAAAAAATTACAAATTACATTTGTCGCTACATAATAAAGTAAGTATGAATTACCCTAAAATCATAACTAAATAATAATATGGTTATGATTTGTTTCTACAGCCACTAGATTCAGATTTGAACATGCAAGCCAAAGTTTCAGCCATACTACAGAAGTTGGAAATGGAAAATTCGCGTGCACGTTCAATGGATTTGGACGATTTTATGAAATTGTTGTTGGCTTTCAATTCCGAAGGCATACATTTCAATTAATTAATAGTAAATTATTTTTAAAATAATTGATTTTAGTTAATAAGGCGACAAAGCAATAAAAAAACGAACGGGATAACCATTAGCAATAGGTAATTGCTAACTCCATGACGTCCTGCAAACCCATAACAAAATAAGCATTTTAAACGCATTTGTTGCATTTATTTGAGCGAAAGTTCTTGGTATAGGTTTATATTCATATTTTTATGTGGGGATATTTCTTAGATATGTCTATATATCCAAAAATTTTATTAATATAAAGGAATTATTGTAATATCTTTAGTTATTTTTATACAACATAGATTACAATTATTTAAAAATGATAACACATGGACAGAGAAAAGATGAGGGAATGTTTAAAAAGAGATAAGTTTTGCAATTACAATTTCATTTAATGTTCAACATACACACAATGATAATCTAAAAACAGTAAAATTATTAGATTCGCATATAGGATTATTTACCCATTGCGTCATAGACTGCTATACTACAATAGCTGCATCCTTTGCTGAATTTTTTTTTTATCTTCTAATACTACAATCAGTTCATGACTATTTAAATTTTTACGTTCTTTAATTAGTTCTCCTTAAATTGCCAATAATTTGGCAACACTTTGTAATGAAAATGTAAATATTATTTTTTACAATCAAACGTCAAAATCGAATTTCACTTTACACCATTTGAATTTACATGCATATGAAACGCCACCATAATAGTCAAATCTAAAAATTATATTATTTTTTGTTTTATAGGATTTTAGTACGAACATTTTGGTATTAAAAAACGCTAATGGAGTTCTTTCGTAAAATTAATGAAACCACGACTATAAAAATTACATGCATAATTTGACCATGAGTCGAGCCTAGATTAGGCGATCTAAATCAAATGTTTTTTTAACAGACGAAACGACAACAAAATAAAAGTGCACTTTATAGACTGAAATATGCCAACGAAAACAAACTAAAACTTACATGCACAAAACATGCGAATGAATTATTACACTTCTTATTAATAACGTCAATACAGCTTCAACCGTTGCTGTTTTCACATATTTAGTGTGACCACACTTGGCTCGTCACATATATGTAGTACTATACACGAAGCATTTCAGCTAACACCGTAACATAATCTACAACAAGACTCACAGGTTGACTAAGGTTGACTACTAATTGAGAAAACTTAAAATATCTTGTTGTGATAATGTATTCAGATTCTTATTATCCTGTGACTGTTGCTGCGTGGTATTCTGTTGTGGAAGCAGTGGTGTAAAATTATTCATACTATTCAAAGCGTTACCATTACTGACACCAACACCGCCACCACCACCATTATATCCAGATGGATAGATGTAATTCACTGCCGGTCTTTGAATGCTGACGTTGACGCTTTTATTACTACCGCCGAAGGGATCCAAATTGTCCAAAGACGATGCGTTGTTATTACTATTACTGCTGATAGCCTGTGGCGAGGCTAATTGGTGGTTCATAACTAACGGATTTGCACTATGCCAGTTGTTGGTCCAACTATCATTTGAGCGCGCTTGGTTGGGACTGGCATATGGATTTACAATGGGTGAAACTGCAGTAGTAGCTATAGCGGCAGACTTTGGCGATGGGGAGTTGCTTAAATTGGTCAAATTCGAATTCATCAAAGAGGAAAGAATGTCCGGTTTTGCCGGTGCGTTGTGTGATATTCTGTAAATGATTATTCGCGTGTAAGTATTAAGCGTGTAAGTGTATTCGCGAATAGTAAAGAATAGCAACGAAATACTTAAAGATCACACTCACTTCAGCACATCGTTGTTTGTTTTAAATTTTTGTTCTTGACCTGCTTGTGTTGTTGTATTTACTTTTCTCGTTGGTTGCGATATGGAGAAACCCGAAAACATGTCATCGTCGCTGTTAACGCTGTTATTGAGACTTGTGCTTGTTTTTGTACCTTGCTCCAATTCAGTAGTTAAAATCTCGGAAGCATCACGTGGCCTGTGGGAAAAGTACACCATGATATATTATTTTTTTAATGTTAAATTAATAAATTTTCGTTTTAAAACAACTCACTTGTTTTCCCTTTGAATAGTTGAGAGTTGCTCCAGTTTCTCACGCTGTTCCTTCTCCACCCGGCTGAACATTTCCTTAATTAGCGTCACAATTGTGTTGAACTGCGCAATGGTAAGACCGTTTTCAACGCAGAGTGGCATTAAAAACGGTATACATTTGTGCGCCATTACATCTTTAGTTATACCTAACTTTGTGTTGGTCATGGCGATTTTATATATTCCAATTATAGCCATAATAATGGCAGGTTCGCGGCTTTGTATCTGCTGCAGGAAGGGCAATATTTCATCCAACACCAGCCACTTATCTAGATCTTCTAGTAGCTTACCAATCGATATCAAACAATTTACTTTCACCGACACATTGCTGCTGTGCAGGCAGAGTTTCTTGATTCGTGGTATCACAGCGTTTTTCATGGCGTTGTAGTCAATCAAATTGGAAAACGTCGGTAATACACCTAAGCATAACTCTTGTATTTGTGGCATATCGCATTCCAATGAGCGATACAGTAGCGGTAGTACGTGTAGCTTAACTTCTTCAGCAGGCGTCAACTTCAGTAAGAGATCCATTTTTTGCATGAAAATTAAAAGTATTTGTATGGGATCTGTCAATTTGAAAATCGGTTTCAAATGCGTAAGGATGTGTTCACAATACTCTTTCTGACTGCTCATCTCAGCGATGAGTAATACATTAGGTAAAACAAAGGGTATCATTGGCGAATTAACAAATTCTTTTACCAAATATGGCAATATGGAATGTAAGTTAACGCGATGCGGTAGTGTTGGTATGATTTGTGGAAGTCCTTTGTAGAATTTGGATTTTTGTAAATTATCCCACTGGTAAAGGGAATCCAAGTAGCTCAGTGTCTTAACTCCAACATCTTGAAAATATGCTATCTGTTGTCATATATATACAACGGTTTTATTATAAAATTATACAATTCATTTTATATTTATATATGTATATTTATTTCCTACCTGTTTCATTTCGTGCAATTTTGGGCGCATATGTGGACTTGGATGCAACAAAGCTCTTAAACTTTCGTTCAAATCGCTGGGAATACTATTCATTGGCGGGTACTTTCTTTGGTTAAGATCGGCAGCGTATCGACGAAATGAACTATAATCACTACCAAACATTTTTAACGGTTTACCCGAATATATTGTGAATATTAATACACCTAGGAAAGTAAAAGTAATGTTAAGTTTTTTATCATTACTTAAGCAACTATTTGTAGTTACATACCTAATGAAAATAGGTCACTTTCGGTGCTATTTATAGTGTTTAACGCTATTTCAGGGGCACAATACTCCAAACTCGGTTGGGATAGGACATGAACAGAAGTAGAGTACTCGCGGCATGGCCAAAAGGGTTTACCATCGGTTGCAGGTTGATTAGCTATACAGAAGTCAAAACCAAATAACTTCCAGCTCCGATTTTTATTAATCACAATAGTTTCTGCGCAAATATTGCGGTGCACAATTTTGGCGTCGTTATGTAAAAATGACAAACCGTCAAATAGTTGCAATATACCATGACGTATCTCAACATCATAAAGTTTTTTATCCGAACGTACTGAATCACCTACTACATTGGCCAACGAAGCGAATACTGGCTCCGTGGCGAAAGCCAAGGAATCGCGCGACTCCTCAAGCGGATGTTGAACGGTCAGCACGTGTGGATGTCGTATTTTTGTTAACTGTTGCACCCCACGTCTTAATGTTTCCAACATTGTTTCTCGATCATCTTTCGACCAGCGTTCAAGCATTTTCTTTTCGAATACAAATACAGAGACTTCCTGTTTCGTGCTCTTCTTGTAGCCATTGTATACCTTCCACATCAGTCCTGAATAATAATTAAATGTTAATAAATTGTAGCTTAGCCCATTTTTACGTAATAAACTACTCACCTACACCTGCTGTACACACCTGCTCCAGCACTTCATATTCCCTGGTGACGTTGTTCCCTGGAAGAACACCAGACAGCTGTGACACTGTCGTATGTACTGTTGAGTAGAATTTATTTATTACGTCCATAGCCATAACCAATTGGGTCTCTATAGACAACGAAAATTACGTAAATCGAACACCGATATAATGGAATTTACACCCTTGTTTTGTAAAGGAATTAGTAATTTTTTCCTAACTTCGATGAAATCTTTTTGTTGTCTATTTTATGTTCTCTTTCGAATTTACTAATCGATAGAGAAAGGTGTATTCAGCGGATAATGAGTAGGGCTGCCAAATGTAAAATGATATCGTAATATTTATAATAAAATATTTTTTTTAATAAGCTTTTTATTTTTTGATTTACCGTTTAATAACAAAGGAAAATATAATAAGTATTCTAGCCTTAATTCATTTTATTTTTTATATAAAAACTTATTTTCCTATGATGTATGTTATATTGACTTAGCCAAATTCATAAACCAAGTAGCCACAACGTTTCATCAATTTTTGTTCACAATCCAGCCTAAACAAATTGCTACGACCTTTCAATTGCAGCTGAGCCTAGAAAATATATTTGTTTAAATAAGTTAATCATTAGATATATGTATAAGAAATTCTTTCGTATAAAAACATTTACCATTTTACTATAACAATTTAATTTATTTGCATAAAAATTGAAGGCGAGTGGTTTTTTACGGTTCTCGACAACTTCGTTGACATCTACACATGGATTAGTACCGTAACTGATAATGCAATCTTCTAAACTTATTTCATCCAAATGTACGGAGACCAAAAACAATTTTTGAAATTCCAACTCGCTACGTACATAGCATGCATAAAAGTGTAACACACGCAATGTAGGTAATATAGAAATGTAAGTAAGCATTTCGGAAAATGCTGAAGGATCGACGGCCAATATTAATCGTCTCAGATTAGTATGCATTCGAAAGCTAATCATTTTTGGAAATATTGCTGTAATATCACATGAATATATTCCCTCAATGTGCCGAGTGTTGTGTAGCTCCACAAGCTCATTGTGGAGTGAATCCAAATTTGCTGTCGAGTATAAATCAGTGATGTTAAGCTCCTTCAAACAGTGCAAATTCTTTAATTGTGGCGTGAAATAAGACAACTCATAAGAATTAAGCACCAAAACGCTTAGAGTACAATATTGCAGGGCATCCTCTGCTAGACGCGGTAGCTGCATATTAAAACTTTTCAAAATTAACGTACGTAATGGTAGTTCTTGCAGTATCCGCTCTAAGTAGTGAAATTGAAATGTATAACATGAACTAAGTGTTAGTTGTTCCAAATGTTTCCACATTACAAAGCCTGCACCTGTAAATTTTCCATTTGGTCGCAGATGCTTTAGGTTTGGGAAAATATCATGTAAGGAAGTTACAAATTCGTCTTCCAACATCTCTGAAGAAGTCACAGTTATGTAGAGGTTGTTTGTTTTGTTAAACTTAAATCCGTTTAGCAAATTTATCAGATTTTTGGAATCAAGTTCGAGTTGTAGATTTTCTATATGTTGATGTACAACGCATAGAAATTCGTTTAGCGCATGGGATTCGAGTGGCATTTCAGGTTTCAACTTTAAAAGTAACTGTCTTTTATATTTTGTTTTCCACATACTCCCAATAATATCAATTAAACTTTTATTAGAGAGTAAAACTGCTATTTGATCTTTCAATGATAAATATTGTAGAATTTGAACTAAGCAATCTTCATTCAAAGAATCCATAACGATTAGTTGTATTAAAGTAAAAATTAATATATGATCCTATGATAGTCTTATATAAACTTCCTTTTACTTTTTTAGAGATTTAACATTTTCAGCATGAAAATTTTAGATGAATAAACGTACATATATTGACAAAGCTAAAGTATATTCAAAAATCAGGTTGGCAGAATAAACAATAAATCGTTCGGACACAATTTTTGACATATCTTCTTTTCACAACAGCTGTTGCAAAACAATGTTGTTAAGTTTCATAAAATATTTCAATTGAACAAACTATCCCAGGTAATGTATAGTTAAAAAAAACATTACCTAAATGTTTACTAATTTAAAGGATCATTAATATTTGACATCTGTTTGTTCGAACGATAATTAAATAATAAATAAGTAAACAAAACACAGTTGTTCAAATTGTATGAAACGTTTATATATTATATATTAATATAGAATTATCAAATGAACTCAATTTTTTTAAATTTTCGGATATATCCTAATCCAAATATTGTTAGTTATAACTATATAAAATTCTATTATCTGATTCATTTAATTAATTATTAAACTATTAAATTCTATTCTTAAAACTTTACATTTACAAGTTTGGATGTCCTTGGTAATTCGTAAACTTAATTGAGTAACTGCACACTTGACAACACTGTATACATTGTTTACTTCGGCTTTGCATATTTCATTATTTTGTATTCTTTATTGCTTCATCGTGCTGCATAAATTATTTGCATTTCGAAATATTTTGCAATAAAAGCCACAAACTTTCGTTTTCTATAGCCATTTTAACCATGGCATCTTTTGCAAAACCTGGTGTAAGTAAAGAAATAATATAATCTAAAATATTGCAGTCAAATATACACAGATCTCTCTTCAGTCTAGCGGCTCTAATGCCAACAGCGCAACAGCATCCACGTCGACACCTGCCCCTCCAAGTAACATACAAGAATTCAATATTCGTGTACCTAAAAATTTGCGAAAGAAGCATCATGTTATGCGTTTTAATGCCACATTGAACGTCGACTTTGCGCAATGGCGGGGAGTTAAAATGGAACGTGAAAATAATATGAAAGAATTCCGTGGTATGGAGGAAGATATGCCAAAATTTGGAGCAGGTTCCGAATATAACCGTGATCTTCGCGAGGAAGTACGACGGAAAAAATTTGGAATAATTGCCAAAAAATATAGACCCGAAGCGCAACCATGGATTTTGAAGGTCGGTGGCAAGAGTGGTAAAAAATTTAAAGGGATTCGTGAGGGTGGAGTCAGTGAAAATGCAGCTTTCTATGTGTTTACTCATGCTCCAGATGGTGCAATAGAAGCATATCCATTGAATGAATGGTATAATTTTCAACCGATACAGCGTTATAAATCATTATCCGCTGAAGAAGCAGAACAGGAATTTGGACGAAGAAAGAAAGTTATGAATTATTTTTCGCTTATGTTGCGTAAGCGTTTGAAGGGCGACGAGGAAGAAGAACAGGACCCGGAAGAAGTGAAAATTAAAGGAGCAGCAAAGAAACCGAAAGAGTTAAAGATCAGTGAAATGGATGAATGGATTGATTCTGATGAAGAGTCTGACTCCGATGAAGATGAAGAGAAGAAGAAAAAAGAAGAAGATAGCGATGAGGATGGTGGCAAGAAAAAGGGTAAAAAAGGACTGCAAAAGAAGCCAAAGAAAAAGCGTGACGTAGATGACGAAGCCTTTGAGGAATCAGATGACGGAGATGAGGAGGGACGAGAAATGGACTATGATACGGAGTCCAGTGAAGAGTACGCTCGATTTTTAATTATAGTTTTTTTTTCAAAACAAGTTCGAACATAATTTTTCGTTTTTATAGTGAACCAGATCCAGAGTCTAAACTGGACAAGGATATGAAGTCGGTGGCAGAAGAGGATGCTCTGCGCAAATTGCTAACTTCGGATGAAGAAGATGAAGAGGAGGAAAAGAAATCGGATGAATCTGATAAGGAAAAGGATAAAAATAAAGAAGAGGGAAGTAGCAAAGAAAAAAAGAAAACTAAGAAAGTCTCGAAAGACGAAAAGAAAGGTATGTTAAGTAATTATATAATATAATAAAAGTAGACAGTATCAAATTTATTGCATAAACGACTAAAATATTATTACTGTTCAGAATCTTCCAGTGATTTTAGTTCAGATAGCAGCGACTCTGACGATGAAAGTAGCAGCAGCAAGAAAAAGGCAAAGGAAACGCCAAATATCAAGAACACAGTTAACAATAATTCACGCTCTGCAACACCAACTGGAACATTACCTAATAGCACAACTAAACGAAAAGTTAACAATAGCATGCCTAGTGATCTTACAGCTTCGGAGAACAGCAACAGCCCTGTAAGCACTCCTGCGAAGCGTACGAAAACGGATCCAACACCTATGGTGCCGTCAACATTCGCCGGTGTAGTAAATGCTAACAATAAAGAGTAAGAGCAATTACAGGAAACTTTTATTTTTGATATAGTAATATATATAATATTTATTTCCAGTGATTACGGTATAACCGAAGAAGCTGTTCGTCGTTATTTAATGCGCAAACCCATGACACCGACAGAGCTCCTGACGAAGTTTAAAAATAAAAAGACTGGAGTTTCTAGCGATCGTCTTGTGGAAACAATGACCCAAATCCTAAAAAAGATCAATCCTGTTAAACAAACCATTCAAAACAAGATGTACTTGAGCATCAAGCCAACAAAGTGATTGAAGTGTGCAACGATGGTTGTCTAATAAAGCATGTCGAAAAATTGTATATGTAAGAATGTGCAACATATTAGCTGTTAAACTATTAATTTGTTTTATGCAGTGTTAATTTACTGTAGACAATGCTAAATAAAATAGTTTTTACCAAAATTATAATTTTAACTTGTAAATATTTAAAGATTATATAACTATGAATCAGAAGCTTCATTTGTTTTCAGAAAAAAAAAAAAAAAAAACAATTGTATGAAGTATTTCAAGTTTTTGTAACATATCTGTAGCCTACATGTTTATTGTGAATGAGCTATGGAAGTCTTGCACAGTCAATCGAATGAGAAGAAGCATAAAGTTCTTCACTTTTTCATACGGAACGAAAAATTCTCAAGAAATCTTAACAAATTTGTGCTAATTGTGCTAGAAAAGGCGGTGCTACTAAAAATGCAGCCTACTCGATGTAGAATAGGGCGCAAAAGTGAAAATTATAGTTTTTCTAAAGTAAATTAAAACTAAAAAAGCAAATTCACGTGAATTATAGAAGACAGACGTATATATGGCACATATATATATTTATCGGCTGCGAACGGGCTCACACAAGGCTACATCAAAGGAGACCACAAAGTAGAGAATAAAGAGAAAAGTCAAAAACAAAAACGCAGAAATATAGTGTAATAAGAAAGACGAAAACATATGAGTAGGTGTTGCGACTGTGCGGTGGATAAACGAATAAAAGCAAAAAGTAAAAGTTTAAGGTGTGTGTCAGAACGCCAGTAAAGCCACAATAAAAAAAAAATAATAAAGAAAAGTGAGTAAAGTGCGAATAACGAAATATTTGCTAAAATCTAAAAAAACAAAACGATATTAGCCAGGAAGGCGTTTTTGGAATTAAAGGTGGCCAGAAAGTGAACAAGGCAAAAACCTTCAAAATTCAAAAATGTCATAAAACAAAAGGACAGGTAGAGTAGCTGATAAGAGAATTAAAACTGAATATTTAGAGACATAGTGGAAGATAAAACATTCGAAATTGTTTGTTTAAGTCTTGCTATATGTTTCATCTTTGTGCATAAACGGTATACATTTATTAAATTAGTGATGAAGAGAATGAAAATAAACGAAAGCGTGCAGTACAAAATATTACATTTCAAACATTTTCCTGTATAAACCTTGCATAATATTCTTTACCAACATTATTTTTTTACATCTTTACTCTATTTTATGATTCTTCTTATCAAATCGTACGACGCATTAAAAGCGGTTTCAACAAGCACGTACGAAAAGTTGCTTTGTGAATTGGATTTGCTTTCTACCGCGAATGAAGTTTTCACAAATATATACATTTAAAAGAAGTTTTCATGTTCGAAAAATAGTCATTAATACTTCTTGTTTTTCTTTTAAAAAGTGAATGTAATAGACTCTCTAAGTTTAGACAACAGTCTTTATAAAATATGCCCACAATCAGCAACACGTCTGCTAATGCCTGAGTTGCATTGAGAATAATGAAATGCCACATTGGTGCGACGTGCTATTAAACTAGTAATTAAATTCAAGTGCAAGGGCTTCGCCTGTAATGATGCCGTGCTTTTTAAGTTCAAGTTCTTTTTGACCTAAAGTGTTACTCTTTCTGAAAGCAACAGCGTTGAATATGACTTGCTTTTCATAACAAATAAAAATGTATTTGTATTATTTCACAACAGAGGTATGAGCTATTGCTACTACATTCTCACCGAATCCATCGTGTCAACCACCTGTGTGTACAATTGCAATAATGTTGTGCGGATCTCGACTGCTCGTCGATATCTTTTGAGTGCTAAAATGTTTTGCTCGGGTATATGTATTTCTAATTTAGCGTGATGACAAACGATTACTATGTTACACAGAATGGAAATAACGCTGTTATGCTGTCACCTATTAGAGTTCATCGATTTTTATTTATATTAGATCCGCATATAAATAAAAATCGATGTTTTGATGATTGTTTGTGTGATGATTGTTTGTGTTGCAGTTATATGGATTTGTTTAATGTGTTTTTAATAGCAATTTTGTTTAAAAAAAATTTAAAGAATGGACCCTCTTAATGAATGTTACCTGATAAACAAATCACCATTCCATAATCATGCGTTAAAGAAAAGTCGCATTTTTGTTTGAGTAGTTAATAATCGAAAAAACCTATGTTGAATTAAATACACATACACATAGTGTGTATGTATATGAGTCATTCTGTGAATATGTTTACCAAGTTCAATAATTTAATGCAATTAATTCTTAATAATGATCACAAGTATGTTTTACAATTTTTATATTAATTAAAAAGCTGAAAATTAAAATATTCGCCTTTTTAATTTACATATCACTTATTCGCTGATTCAGTTTTAATTGATTTGCACTATAATCTTATTCATTGGCCCAGTTCAAAACGCCACGCTAAATGAAAATATTCGTTGTAAATATATCATGATGACATGCGCATACATACATATGTAAAAAAATATATGTGTATATAAATTTCTTTGTTATCACGCAACAGATTCTAATTTAATTTAATTTGTATTGCTTGAATACTTTACTCACAGTGACAGTGGTGCCCACATATGCATGTACGTGCATATATACATATGTACATAAGAACTTACTTATACAGAAGAGAAATTACAACTTATTCAAGACTTGTAAACTTCACTATAATTCTGAACTTTCAGATTTGAGTATTTTCATATGATAGTGGGAATTGGACTCTACTGATTGTACCAAATGTAGGCGTCTTGGCTTATAGCGTTTCAATTCAACCGAAATTTACCGAAATATAATAAGAAATTGACCAAAATTTCCGGGGATTGGTCTAAGGTGTCCTCCGAAGATCAATATGAATCAGAGATAGATTTATGAAAATTCTGAGATTTATACGTGATAAACGAACCAAGCACTAAGAACTAGGCACCAAGCGGGATGAAGGTAGAGGGGGGGTTGGTCAGGCTGGTGTCGCAGTATTGCGTTGGCAGCATGGGACGTCATCTTTGGCGAGCTGGGTTGGAATCCAATTCGATGGCCATGACTCCTCGAACCCGAAGGAGTGTGCGAGCTACTTTAGCCGGCAATTCACATTACACCCTTCGTCAGACAAGACCAAACGATGTGTTACGGCTGCGTAAAATTCCAAAAGATCGCACGTCCCTTACTTTCACTGATGAGGAGGTTCGGAGTGTCATCAACAAGGCAAAATCATCCAACTTCATTGGCCCTGATAAAATTAACATGCTGAGGCTAAACCATCTAGGCTCGAATGAAGTAAGTTTTCTAACCTTTAGCTGACCCTTCTTCAAATACCAGATGTGTGGAAAGCCGGAAGTGTGGTCGCACTACTGAAACCTGGGAAATCGGCCAATAAAGGGGAGTCTTATCGTCCGATAACTCTCTTTTCCCTAGTAGTGAAGACACTTGAGGCCTTGGTGTAACTTTTTACAACCTGTGCTAATTCATTCCTCACACGACCACACTTCGGACGCCACAAACCTCAGACAATCACTGACCGTCATTCACAGTGAAGCCATCAACACCTTCACCGACTCTCACTCAGTGAATGACGTATTTGGAGTCAAACTACCACCCATTGCAGACAAAGAGCCCGAGTTGCCACGAGAATCTAGAGTGACCCTTGCGCAACTTCGTTCTGGGAACTGTAGCAGGTTACACTTCTATTTATCCAGAATCGACCCCGACATACCTATTATATGTCCAGCATGCAACGAGTCTCCTCATGACACTAACCATCTCTTTGCATGCCCAACGAACCGTACCCATCTAACACCCTTCTCCCTATGGTCCAACCTCGTGGAAACAGCACTTTTCCTGGGAATACCGTTAGATGACTTCGATGACAATCAACCTGAACCTTACCACCCAAACGGGGATTAGATAACCGTTACAACAGCAACAACAACATCGAATGGCGAATATTTTGAAGGCGACAACATTAATATAGACAAATGTATACATTTTTTGAACAAACCTCGTGTTCAGTGTTTGTGTAGTTTGAGAACATCTGGTAGGTTAAAGCACATATATTGTTGAATAAAAACTCTGTAATATCATACAACCTAGAACACGTTAATTCTTGACTTTTCCAAAAATAACTTTTGCGCTTCTTTTTTGCCGTTTTTACTTTGCTAAGTAATATATTATATTATGGAGTTTTAGAAAAATTACTAAAGTCTCGTTTTTAATAATCGGCCTATACTAGCAGAAAACTTTCCCCAAATAATTTTGAGTAATTCTGCCGAATTTACCATGATGAAATCCACCCTGTATAGTTTTCTCACATATGGTCAGCATCAGTCGATAATAAATCTAGAAATTTAGAAGAATTCAAGTTGTTCTTTGTTTGAAATTCCTGCAACTACTAGAGGAAATTTCACTCAAATCATTATTAAGCGATTATGACCAAGTACAGTATCGCAGGCAAGGCAGCAACCACGATTTTTCTTCACTTATTACCTGCCGATTCAAATAGGATTAGATCCTCGCGTGAACGCCTATCTCCTAGAATTTTCCCGCTTTTTCACTGCAAGGAGCCTAAAACTTTTCCAGCCAAATCCACGGCCACCCTATTTACAAATTGGTCGGAGGAGCATAGACTGGACCTCAACATTTTTACAGTCAACAGTGTTTCAGTCGACAGTCTGCACTCCTTCACTCCGTACACAACTGCGATTGTTACAAAAGTCCCGAGACGCAACAAGATTCTCAAGCAATAGACGTTGTTGGCAACATACAAGGCAATCGGTCGGCCGATCATCAACTATGGCGCCTCAATATTGTCACCTGGATGCAGCAGAAGAAGATACAGATCTGGCAGAACATCGCACTTCGGACGCATGACACTAATCACCTCTTTGTATGCCCAATGAAACCAATTCACTTAACTCCCCTCTCCTCATGTGTGCAGTTGCTCCAAATTGCTGTAACCAAATGCTATTGAAAGGGATACGTCTTTAGCGCAGTTCTGGGTAAAAAAAAACTCATTCAATATCTTTAAAAAACGATGCCCATTGACAATTACTGTTACACCGTTTTCTTTAAAGAAGTATGGCCCGACAATACACCTTGATGGAACTGCGCGCCACACACTCGTGACTCGTTCTGGGTGAGGTTCCGTCTCGTGGATTATTTCTGGATTCACTCCATATAAGCAATTTTGCTTATTTAAATTTCCGTTTAGATCAAGTTATTGTCTTTTTTGGCCATTTCAATAATTTTTTAGCAAGATTCCAAGCGAATAGGCAAATCTAGAGGGTTTAACCGACTTGTTATTTGAACGTACAGGTTTAAGTCATCATTAATTATCTGTTGTAATGACCGTCTGCTACCAAGTTGCGAGTCGAAATTCTTGCCGCGATTGTACGGTATTCTTGCGATACCTCCAGATTCGGCAAACATGTTTACCAACTTCATAATGGTCGATCTATTTGGGAAAGTGCCGCCAAAATCCTGTTGAATTCACTTTGGACGGAAATGACGGACTGCCACGAACTGCAAAGCATGGTAACGCCGCATTATGAAAACTTTCTTTTCGGTATCCCAAGCATACATTTTTAAAAAACTTGAATAATAACCTACTAATTAAAAAAATAAAAAATAAGTCGATTACTCACACAAAAAAAAAGGTATTACGATTTCTTTTTGTAGCGCGATTCGTGAGCCACATTGTAGATACTTTACTATTGGTGTTAACACTGGGCCGTAGCTTCTTATTCTTCTGAGTCTCCATTTCCGAAAGGCTACTTGGTTTTATATGGAGCTTCTAAAATTCAGAAATATACTCACCAATATACCCTCGTCCGATATTAATTGCCTCTAATCTTTGAGTTATATGTAGTCGAACATTCAATGTGCTTATCTCTAATATAAATATTAATCAACGTTTCAGTTCTGCAATCAACATTATGCATTCTTGTAACTTTGCATGTGTTATGTGTTTAGAACGGCGTTTTGGTAGGCAGACCACCACACAATTTCATGATTCATTGCGTCGAACGCTGCCATCAAAAAACCGATTTGTCCACAGCAGTCCCACAATTTACGTTCGTCATTTATGAATTTACCAGGGTTGCCTTTTATATTTCGAGATTAGAGAACAACAAAAATTATTAATCATCGAAAATCGCTTTATTGTTTTTAAAAATATTTTCCATTAAGATCTATACACTTTTGCATGCGTTTGAACCAATTGTGGAAGCACTTTAGCCACTCTGGTTGAGATATCTCCAAAACATACGTTCTGAACCCATCAATCGCCTTTTCAGGCGTCGAAAAACGTTGAACTATTAGTTTATTTTTTACGTACGGGAATAAAAAGAAGTCATTCGGTGTCAAGTCGGGACTTTACGGTGGATGACCCATTAAATTGCTGTTTTGAGTGCTACAAAATGCAGTTGATTCAGTGGATATGTGAGAGTTAGCATTGTCGTCGTGAAGACAACTGGCAAACAAATGGTTGTTTACTACTCAGAATTAAATATTCTGCGTTGTTCTAATGGTATGGCTGCGACATATCCAGTTTTTCCAAAAAGAGGCAACCATTTGCTTGAAAATCTTCGAACGCGAACAAGTTTTGTTGGATTCGGCTCATTTTACTTTCGACTGCTATTTACTTTCGGGCTCGTGCGCATAAAACCACGATTCATCACCTGTTACGATGTCATAGACGTGTTTCGAAGCACCGCTATCGTATGTTTTTTTAACAATTCTCTCGATCAATCGACGCGATCCTTTTTTTGAGCGATTGACAAATTGTGTTGCATCCAACGTTAACAAATTTTTTTACAGTCAAATGTTCATGCAATATTTAATGTGTTCTAGTCCCATTAATGCCTATATTTATCTCAATCGTGAGATAGGTCACATGACGATCTTGCAATATTTAGTTTACGCACAGTATCAATAGTTTCGGGAACAACAAATAATGTTGGACGACCTTTACGAAATTCATCTTGGAGTGATCTACAACCTCGATTGAATTCACCATACCATCGATAAATTTTGATGGAGATTCATCGCCAAAATTGAATTAAGTTCATCGATGCACTGTTGCTGAGTTATTGTTCCATTTTTTCGCCGAGATGAATATTTTACGTTACTGTAAACAACACAAACAGCGCTCGTATGTCAAAACATTCTGAGTATGTAAACCATAACATCAAAAAGTCCAACTTTACGATAAAGTTGCGAGTTGCCAGATTGCAACACTGGGGTTGCCAAATCCCGAAATATAAAAGGCAACCTACGTACAAGTAGTTGAACCGACGTATTTAGTTTTAAGTGAGTACCAATACTATGAACTACATTTTTCCGTTCCATTTTAAAGTCAGTACAAAATAAACTGAAATGAAATGAGAAAATCAGTAAATTGAGTTATCAGCTGTGTTTTCTAATACTCTACAATATGGTAAACATGTAGTGTGAGATTAAGTTTAAGTTCTAAAACTTATTTAGCTCATTGCGATGCTTATCAGGCAATCACTTGAAATTCAATGTTCGTTGTTTGCATTATGATTTTAACTATCTGTATGTATTTGTGTATGTACGACAAGCCCTTTGTAGGTGTTATGTAAAGACAAGGAAGATAATTAAACTAATGTGTTGTTGTTGTATTGAGTGGTAAAAAAAAACCTCTTAAAAACGGAGAGCACAACTTTGTAATTTCATCATCATCATATCCTGTATCTCGCACTAATTGGTTCGTTGCCTACCTTTGTTCAATGGTTGCATTTATAATCGCTTCAGCTCCATCTAATTAATAACAAATTACATGAGAATAATGCAATTTTTAGAGTGTGCTTCTGTAAGAGCGCCTATGGTTAGTTTGTTATTCTTAAAATGTACACGATCATATCCGGAGTATAGTAATATCTGATGAAACGCCGTTGCTTCTCATGAGTGCTTAATATTCGATTGCAGTACCACCGTTTTGAACCAGCAACACCTGAGTGATGACTGCAATTTTTTTTGGCCAGGAACCTATTGAAAAACTTTGTAATACCTATACCTATTTTAATAGTGATAACGGGTTTTAATATAATATAAAAATGTAAAATATGAAATTTTGTCGCAAACCTTACTCAGTCCGGTAACTATGTGATAAGCTCCAACATACATACATATATTTGATTGTGAATATGTGATAAGGCCCATTATTTTCAAGGCGGTCATTGCCATTCAAGTGTTATTTGTGGACACATATAAACGAATTCAATATCAGTCATTATTAATAAAAATGCATATAATTTAATATATGGTGAAAATATGAATAAAAAAACGAACGCGACATTGAAACTTATATTCTTACTGAAAAATATATTCTTGGGATTCTTGGTTATTTGTAATAAAAATGCTTAAAACTAACCAAATTTATGAAATCTTTATAAGTACATGAAAGAAAGGTCTCTAATATAAACTCGATTCCAATATATTAATCAAATGTTGGTAATTTTCCTTCAAAATAGGCTTTTCAGTCAATTCAAGCATACCAACACTTAATGCGCCTAATCCCATTTTCCATTATAAGCCTCGGCTTATTATAAGCCTCGGCTGGGTTGACCTTCAATGCCTTCAGCGAATTTCAGTTTTTTCGGTTTCGCCCCATTTTTGGATCGAGTTGAGTCGATCCATAAGAGATCCTCTGCTATCGCTCTGATGCTAACACCGCGATTTTAAATCATTGTATTTTTTTTTTTTTTTAACTTTTTCGATGTTATCGTCATTAACAGAAGTGAATGAACGACTCGTATAAGGCAAGTTTCGATGACTTCAGAAGAAATAGAATTCCCAAATTGTTCTGCAACGCTTTAAATATTCCGTAGCCATTGGCAATATCGGAGGCTATGTAGGTTGTTGTGTTAGACATAAAAGAATAAACAGAAAATGACACTCCTCCAATTACCCCTCCGATTTGTTTCAAAATTTACACAGAGATACTTTATACCATAAGAAAAATTACCCCTTTTCTTTTTTGGCGGAAAAGTCGTGAAACAATTTTTCATATTTATATATATACAGTTTTTTTAACAATTAATTTACTAAATTATGATGTATTTTGTAACAAAAAAGTTTTTTCTAATACACAGATTGACCAAGACATACAGATCGATTCGCATTACCAATGAGACATGCAAATCGTTTTGCGGAACAGCAGCGACAACAACATCAACGCTTTCTGAAACAAATATACGATCCACTTTAAGTCCAAACAATTAAGTTTGAACATAAAACCAAATTAGCAAAGAAAAAAATTGTGTGAAGTCTGCTTGCTATTTTCAGTGCATTCTATGAAATTAAATAGGAAAATAGAAAACTAAAAGACAATCACAATCAGAATAAACGAAAGAAAATACGAAATTCTGTAAATCAATTGTAGTCAACGATGGAGTTCCGAACTCGTTCAAAGTGGATGCTCTTAGAATTGTTCGTATTTTGCGGACTGTCGCTGTTTACTCAGGAGGCGGCAGCACATGTGCTGGTCTATCGCAGAATAAATAGTTTGGTAAATACCATAATATTTAATTTAAAAACATTTTCTTTTATTAAACGTTAACAACTATTTTAAAATTACTTTTTTAAATCATGTTTTTCTTTAGTTTTTTGTTTGTATGTTTTCTAATATCCTTGTATTAATATTTTTCAGTTTTTCTCTTTTTCGCAGTTAATTGAACAGTATAATGATCTGCCAGCGCAATTCGGTCCGAGTCTACCGGCGAATGGTATAAAAGTCTTTGCCATACCAGCAGCTAAAGATGAATATGCCTGCGGTCCAGTGGACGTGCCACCACGCGAGGGCTATCCCAATAATGCGAAATATGTCATTATAATCGAGAGGTAACAAAATAAATGGCACTAATTCAAACAAAAACACAACTAAATCATACGACTTATTAAATTTGCAGAGGAGGCGGCATAAACTGTACTTTTGAGAAGAAAGTGCGCAATGCGCAGGCGTCTGGTTTCGATGCTGTCATCGTATTCAATAACGATGGCGATGATTTGGGTGAGTTGCATTCATTAACACTTAGTTAATTAACTTATTTCCAAAGCGAACTTAATGTTTTTAATATTAACTAATTTATTTACAGAGCAAATGTCTGCGAAAAATGCGAGCGGCATCTATATACCGGCAGTGTTTGTTGGCCACACAACTGGCATAAGTTTGATGACATTCTTTACACCAGAAGTGATATTGGTGATAAACGATGAGCTGCCATTCAACATCAATACACAATTGATTTTACCATTTTCGATTTTAATTGGGCTATGTTTCCTTATAATGGTAATGAACTGAGTGGCGCTTTTCTAATAGCTATCGATAACGTCTGAAACTTGTTGTGTATTATATTGTATTGTAAAACTCAGAAGGAAACGTCCGAACCCATATAAATTATATATATAAATGATACGAGAGATGAACTGAGACAATTTAGCCATGTTCGTCTGTCTGTCCGTCTGTATATACGCGACTAGTCCCTCAGTTTTTGAAATATCGATCTGAATTTTACGCACTACAAGGCAGCGGTACAACTGGGTCGAACAAATCGTTCAAATCAGATCAATTTAGCATATAGGTGCCATACAAACTGACCAACACCAACAACCGACTTTTTTATTTGACAAGGTGTCTTCTCGAAAATCGGCATGTATTGTTGCCCAAGGAAACGTTATAATCTCCAAATTGTTGAAATCGGACCACTATAGCATATAGCAGCAATTCTAACTGATCGATCAAATTCAAGATAAATATATTTTTATACCCTTTTATGCTATAAAATATGTATTTGTGTAGCGTACTATAGCTGTGGGGCAGGCGAAGTTATAGGGTTTCCTTGTTTTTTGATTAAGTTTTTTTTTTTTTTTAATTTGTATTTATTTTTGTTAATATATATATATATATTTTAGGATTTATAATTTATAAAATTTAAATTTAGAAAGTTGTTAAAATTATATTTTTTCTTCACTTAATATAGATTTGTTTATATTTGTAGTTGTCTTTTACTTAATTCAATTTCCAAAAATGAAGGAAACATAATTTAAAGAGCAATTTAATTTCATTTAAATAGTAATTTTCACGAAATTCGATCGAAATTCGAAAACAAAATTATATTGATTATTTATTAAGTATTAAATTATATTTAATATTATTTATTTTTTCACTTTCAAGACACATATGTACATTTAGTTTCAAATAATTAAACTGATTTCAGCAAACAAACATTCTGAATTAATTTAATTAAGCATTTAATTTTTCGAAATAAAAAACACAATAATTTCTTGCCCACTCCCTCAGATTTTCTACATGATTTACAAGTGTGTGCGTGAGGAACGTCGCTTGCGCCGGCACCGCCTACCAAAGAATATGCTTAAGAAACTGCCGATCTTGAAATACACAAAAAATTGTGATCTCTCACAGGACACCTGCGTCATCTGTTTGGATGAATTTGCCGAGGGCGACAAATTGCGTGTGCTGCCGTGCAAGCATCGTAAGTTCAGTTTTCGAGCCTCCGATTGATACTCCATATATAAAACAAAACACTACTTTCATTTTCATATGCTGACAGCTTATCATAGTCACTGCATTGATCCTTGGCTAACGGAAAATCGTCGCGTTTGCCCCATTTGTAAACGGAAGGTTTTTACGAAACGCCAGCCGCGCGTAAGCAGGACGAATCGACAATCTTCATTGGATAGTGTAACAGATACAGACGACGACACAACACCTCTGCTGCCGGCCACACAACCGGCTCGGGTCGGTGGTAGCAGGCAGAATAGCAGCAATGCGACAAGCAGCAACAGTGCCGTTAATAGTGCACGTAGCGCAGTCTCAGCTGGTGGTCGACGCAATGGTCATAGTACTACAACAACACGGCATGGCACTTTTAGGCGTGCACCAACGCACGATAGCCACTATGTCACCGATGTCACTTCCGATGAAGAGAATGGTAAGTGATCGATTCCAAAAAGCTTTTCTCATATTTTTATTGGGGATATTTAATTTTTATTTGTTTATTAATTCAACATCATCTTAAAATTTTTTACTTAAAATGGTCAATTTCCCGGCATTTTTAATTTTTATACCCTGAATTATTATATGTTAATATACCCTAAGTTTGTCACTAAATTTGGAGCACCCAGAAGGAAACGTCAAAGGCGCCTTAAAATGTATATATAAATGATCGCGTGACGTGCTGAGTTGATTAAACTCGTTCTCATAACAATCGGGTCTACGTAACCGGAACGGACCCGGATTTTTTCCGGCCAAGGACTGTCAACTCGACAAAATTCTGCCGCTACAACAACAACATTTAACCATGGCCGTCTGTCCATCTGTGTGTATATATGCCAACTAGCCTCTCAGTTTTCGAGATATTGCTTTACAATTTTGCGCACGTCCATTTCTCTCCAAGAAGCTGCTCATTTGTCGGAACCGCCGATATCGGACCACTATAGCATATAGCTATAATACAAACTGACCTATCAAAATCAAGTTCTTGTATGGAAAACTTTTTTATTTGTCAACATATCTTCACGAAATTTCCACGAATTATTGTCCTAGGCAACTGTATGATCTCCGAACAAATTGTTTAAATCAGAGCACTATATCATATAGCTGTCATATGAACTGAACGAACAAAATGCAGACTTTGTATGGGAAATATTTTTATCTGACGAGGTATCTTTCGGAAATTCGATACGGATATTTGTCCACAATAAAAAATTAAATTGCTTCTTTAAATTTTCTTTTTCAACGAACATAATTAGATATTTGGGTTTATGTAAATACATGCATATAAGTTTAAAGAAATTAAAACAGCATGTTTTTGTACGTATGTATTTAGAATTAAAAATGTTTATAAAATATTTTTTTTAAAGTGTCTTATATATGTATGTATATATTATATATATATTTTTTTTAAATCAGAAAAAATCGATTTTTATATTGCTTTTATTTCGTTTAATATACATACACATGTATAATAAATATGAATTGAACTCCAGTAATAGATTTTAATAAATTTTGATTTTTTTCATTTTCCTCGTTCAGTACTAGCGTCACAAAACTCCCCCGCCCGCAGTGCACGTCGTGTAAATCCTTTCGATCGTAGACCGAATATTCCACCGCATGTTGCCGAACAACTGACCACAAATAGACGCTCATTCTGGCGGCTATCGTTATTGAGGTATGTATGAGCACAATATATCATTTCAGCAATCACAGCTATTTCAACAAATACTCATTACGTTTTTCAGCTTCTTCCGCCGACCACAGTCTATAAGCGTTGCAGCGCCACACTTCCTCGAGGAAGTCCCTCAGCTACCGATCAATGTTGCCATTGCGATAGATGCTGCAATAGCAACAACAACAGCACGTGCTAATGCGGCCAGTAGTGCACCATTAGTTAACACAGCCCCACTAGCAGTGGCTCATTCATCGAACAACATTCTCAATCCGAATTTAGCTGGTTCCTTCAAAGAATGCGATGATGATGACGACGACGACGATAATGAGCTGCCGCAGCAATCGATATATGAGCCAGTCACAGTTATAACGCGTAATGAAAATAATAATACGAACGGCAGCGAAATAGTTGCACCAAGACGACAACAACAGCAGCAGCAGCAGCAGCAAACACAGGTACCAGCGCCAGCCACACGCACGCAACGCATATGAGTGTGAACTCCACAGATGTGGTCGTCACAAACTACTAGAGCTAGCACCAAATCAGACATAGCCTTCGAAGTGTGGTGGAGTGAGAATAGCAACGTTTATATTTTAAATGAAATGATATGTAGAAATAAGTGAGTTGTATGTATACATATGCAGGTGTGGTCATAACAATATATGCGTGTGTGCGTGCAAAAGAAGCGACCACGAGCGTTGGAAGCGTCACAACCTCCGGTGCTAATGCTGCAGATGTTAATGCTTATTGAGGAAGCTACAAGAAATTGTGTGACACTAAGTGTGTGGAAACAACTGTAAATTTTATAGTTTTATTAATTTTTAATTATTTGATTAGAATTTTACAAAATGTGTATACATAAAATGTGATTTAATATTGGCTTCGGTAATTTGTAGTGTGCGTGCTTGTATACACACATACATACAAACAATACTTAGTTATAGGAAAATACGAATGTAATTTTTATCATCTTACCGCTATGTAAGTACATGTAAGCATAGATGAGAATGCAAAATACGTACTGCAATTACCATAGTAAAAACAAATGCTTAACAAAAAAAAAAATTAATTGAAAATAAACTGTTGCAAGTAAAACTAATATATATGTGTAAGCAGCAACTATTATAATATCAACACAGCAACCAAATTGTCTACATACGTCATTCTAATAATAAATAATTATATAAGAAACTGTATACATGCATATACACATATATATTTTTGCAATTATAATCTATTTTTAGTTAATCAAAAACAAAGACATTTGTATTCTTTCATTTATTGCCGTTTTGTGCATCAAAAATTAAGCTATTTATGCAGTTTTATTTACCACAACACTTCATACCACAAATATTGACAGTTACTGTACTTTGGTCGAACTGGATATATGCGCATCTGTGGCCAAAAAGTTCAAACTACAATTTTTCGAAAACATTTTGAATATCAAATACAACTAATTTTCTAAAACTTCTTCTTCTGATGTACAAAAATTATGTTGGGTTGGACTCTCAGCTAATTTTAGCTAATTTACACTGTTCTACAAGGCATCTGCAGAATATATGTACATATGTTTTTATACCAACCTACTTATTCACATTTGTATATGAAGTTCTTTATTTCTTGCATCGTACGATTTTTTATTGTGTGGCTTTAATTTATATTTACATTGGTATATATTATTTTTTTTTACTTATTGTTCATCACCTTCACCTCATATATATGATGTTTGTGATTTAACGTATGCAATAGATTTAACTTAAGGTTACCAACTATAGCATTGTAATAACATGAAATGACTAAAGGAAATATAATCAAACTTTAACCCGACCTAGGAGATCGCGTCAAATGTGAAATGTAAATATATATTGTTCCAACAACAAAATACATGAATAAATGACTAATATTTTATTCCAAATAAACCTGTGACTTTTAATTATACATTATATATATACAATAATTTGGACCAAAAAATAAGAAAATATGAACTAACCGTTAAAAGGCTTTAATCGAAAAATGTACCAAACGAGTATAATTTTTATGCAAAAAATTTAAAATGTTATAAAGAAAAATCTTCTATATCAAATGTCCATTGTATGGGTCGGATCTGGTCGGTTCCAACAAATGAGTAATAAATTGGAAAATACTTTTTTACCAAGCTTCCGAAGAATGTTTTAAAGCTTAAAAAATAAATGGAAAGAAAAATTACGTGATTTTAACAGCTTCGTTATTCGGAAACGATTTAACCACCATGCCTTAGAACCTCATGCAACAGCGGCTATATACTGTCCACTTCGTTTCAAAATTCCAGATAACCAATTCAAAGGCTTTTTTGATACTATAGGACATAGATTTCTAGCAGATGGTGACTACAATGCAAAGCATATGTATTGGCGCTTACGTCTAACGTTAACCCGAAAGGAAGACAACTGTATTACACTATTATGAATATGAAAAATAACCTTGACATAACCTGGTAAGCCGACATACTGGCCCAGTAATCAAAACAAAATACCAGATTAAATTGATTTCGGTATAATCAAAAATATTGAGAGATCGCTTATAACTGCTGATACATGTACTGACCTATCTTCCTACCATTAGCTATTAATAAAGCTATGTAAGCAACCCTTGGTTGTATCATCAAAAGCGAGTCTAACATCCCATTAAACGACCTGGTTGAAATACAAAAAATATATCAGTTGCCACATAAATGTTGATTACAGAAAAAACTCAGAAAAAGTCATTGAACAAACCTTAAGCCAATTTAATGATATTATAGCAATACCAAAGACAACAATAAGCAGTCCTAAAAAAAATCACAAATGATGAAATAGAGAAGCTAGTAGCTAAAAAAAGGCGAGTTAGACGTGAATGGCAAGCACTAAATTGAAGGATGCTGTACGTAAACTAAAAAAAGCGCTTTAGAGCGCGGAAGAATATAGTACTGAAAATGATATAAAGAAATTGAGACCAAATTCAACCAACAATCAAAACTCTCTTTGGAAAGCTCAAAAACACATTAAGAATAAGAGAAATAAGAAGGCATTTTGCCATATATAAGAGCAGCGAATTTAAACTGGCTTTCGAATAAGAATTCTAAACTTAACCATGGCAACAATGTTTTGCCATACAACGCGGTAATAAAGCCGATTTGGATGTATGATATTCAGCTGTGGGGTAACTCGACAATTCTGCCGCTACAACACCTATACAACTAGCATTGATATAATACAAGTACAAAGGTTCCAGTATAAAATCTTTAGAGCTATAAAGGGGTCACTAACCCGCTTTAAAAGAAAATAACTAACTGGTGTACAGTTGTCATATGAAAATACTTAATCTGTTGTTTTGAAAATATTTAAAATAAATAGAAGAAGCTTTGGCGGAAGTTTGACTGCACACGAAATCACTGCGATGCTAGATATCAGCGACTCTGAATTCAGTGATTGTAGAGCGTCCGATTCCGAGTATATTCCAAATTGTTGATTCCCTCTAAGAAGTCTGATAATGATACAGAGAATGCAAATAATTCGCAAATCTTGGGGAGTAAGGGGTTTCCATCTACCGTTCTCTGGAAAAGAGCTCCTAATGAAGATTCCAATTTACATGTATTGTGGGGAGAACCATCGGGCTTATTTATATCGTATATTGACCTCAATTTCAAGAAATTCTACTCAGCTATAAATATTCAAATGCCTATTTCCGGAATTGTTGTTTGTTTTCATTGCACAGTGCACAAATAAACGATTGGCTCTTCTAAAAGTAAAAAGAAACCGTAATATTGTATGTATCAGAAATATTATATAAATTTGGTTGCGAGTTTCGTTTATAATGGGTTATAATAGACTTTCTGAGATATCTGATTACTGGTCTCAAAATGAATTCATGAAATCCGAGTTTATAAAAAAGGCTATTGCACGAAATTGTTATCAAAATTAATTGTCAAAACTTTTTTTTAATTTTTCTGAGCAACCGCAACGGGCATCTTATCAAAGTTTATTAAATAGAGGAGGTTGTGAATTGTATGAAAAATACGTTTAGCAAAGTTCGCAGTCCAGTTAACATACTTACCAATATTTACGAACGTTGCTAAAATTAAAATTAATTATTTTAATTGTGTGAGAATCAAACATCAGTTGACTGAAGTGAATTACTTAAAATACCTTCAATTCATGGGCAACATGTAGCCCACATAGAGAGAGAGAGATAGGTAGCGAAAGAGCAATTAAACTCAGAAACACATGTTATTTGACACAGTAGCAATTAAAGTCAATTATAAGAGTATAGTAATATTTTATCCGTTTATTCAGATCAATATATTTTAATATAAATTTTCATTTATTTATCCTTTTTTCATTCATAGTTATGTGTTTTTTTTTTTTTTTTTTGTAATACAAAGTGTAATAAAAAATAAGTAAAATGTATGAATGTAGTATGTAATTAAAGTTGGATGCAATAAGGTTAATGGATAAATATTCTACATTTTTGTTTTACAGTTTCCGAGGTTAATTTTTTCATTATAAGAAAATAATCGCCCTACAAATAGTTAATCCATTATAAAGTTATCTCATTTGAGTTTTTATGAAAAAAGTAAAATTTTAGGCCGTTTTACGCAAACTCCAATTCAAATCTATGCATTTTTTCATCCCAACACACAAGTCACTTCACTTGAATACAACATACCAAAGTCTGCGAATTGTATAATAGCTTATTTGTTTTTTTTATTTAGCTGATTTACGCTCGAAAATTACACTATCATAGTGAAATTTAATGCTTTAGGCATAATTAATATTTGCTATAATTAACCTCTATCAAATAAAATTATGGAAACTCCACTAAAATCCGCAAAGTTTTACATATTTAAACGTACATAATATACAATATTAAAATATAAACTAATGTAGCTCAAATAGCTATAAAAAAAATATATATTCCTATTTTAATTAGTTGTATTTTCATTCAAGTCAAATACCATAGTAGCCACCATAGTAATTTATACATGTAAAAAAGCAACTTACGCATTAACAATGTATGTGTGTATGTGGTTTACTTTCAAATCTGATAATCCTTTTACATTTTTTTATTTTGTTAGCTTTCAAACAACGCTTGCGTTTGTGTGTTGCGCGCCTTTGCGTGGCCGGTTTTAATAAATAGGCTCTAGTAATTTTATTCACATACAAACATATCGACTTAATGTTTGTTTGTTGTTTCTTTATACAAATATTGTGAATATCAAAATAACGCTACACTCTGCGAATTCCTTATAGAAAAAAGCTAGATTTAGGATTTTTTGTAAACTTGTTTGTCTATTTAAGTGGTTTTATTTAATCACCAATTACATACATATTTTGTTGCAGCAAAATTTATACAAAACTTTGTAAATTTGAATACTCTTTTGGTTTTTGAAGAGCATATAGTTAAAGAGAAAACAAATACTATTATTTAGTAAAAACAAGTAAAAATAAAATCAAGAATAATTTTTTTAATATTAATATATATTATTTCTTTAACTTTTAAGTACTTGTTTTCTGATTTAATCCATTCTCTTAAAAAAAATCAAAAGAATTTTCGAATTTCAAAACTTTTTATAAATTTTATACCATTTTTTATTAATATTTAAAAAATTATTTTTTTATTATTTTTTGAAGTGACTGCTTAGAACAATTTCAAATATTAATTTAATAATTATTATTTTTTTAAATAGATTTTTTGGTCAAAATAATTAAATATAAAATTTATTTTGCTATTTTCTATTTTTAAGTTTATGCTTGGTGAATAAAAAAACGTAAGCTGAGCATGGTGTAACACACATTTGAAAATAATTTTAGAATTAGTAAATGTATATAGCTTGCAAAGTTCTTACTACATTACAGAACTTAGGTTTATGGAGGTTATTATTGTTGGCGCAAAAATGCATTTCACACTGTTTAAAAAAATATTTGAGATATTAGATATTAAAAAATGGCAGAAGAACATTTAAAGCTTAAACTTTGTATTAAACTTGAGTATAAAACTAAATTAGCCGCACAGTTAGACAGTGGCAATGGAGTCATTATATTTAAAATTAATATTATTTTAATTAATGCGCCAGAGTATGGGTGTAAGTGTACGTGCATATTCGACTATACTTAACATTTCCCACAAAAACTGTAACTAATCCATTTGTTATACAACATTATGTTCATATTTGCTGTATTTTAAAGAAATTCCAATAAAAATATTTCCAAATACATACGAGTATTCTCTCTTCAATGTATAGTGGCGCTAATCTTGTACGTACTTAAACAGAAAATTAATATACAATAGTTTAATATGTCACACGTGTAAATCTTTGCTAAACGCGCACTCACATTAACTCACGCTTTCAGTAGAGTGCAGCTATACAAGACGGGTGCTTTTAGGCCTAATTTATAGCGTTACTCTATATATATTTGTAATATTATATTATATAATAGTATTTAACATTGTAATTTATTTGCAAATTGTTTCCATATTTCTCTAATGACACTAACAGCTAATCAAAATTAACAAAATTTGTATAACTAATTGCTGCTACTTGTACATTCACAAGCATATACATATGTAATGCTGCCGTTACTGTCTGCTGCCACCTTATTTTTTATTCTTCCCAATTCGCTTTTATTGTGTGCTTATGTCTAGGTTTATGCTTTGTTTGTTTACAAGCGCGCCATTTAGATACTTCATTTGACAACCAGTGATTCCTTTAAATGTCGCATCAGTCCAGCGCCGATGTCTTGCACATCCGGCCATTGTCGTATCACAAATATAATGAAGAATATGAACAAGAATGTCGTAAGCACGCGCACTCTGTTAAAAAACATAACAATAAATGATGAAAATAAAATAATCCATTAATATGTGTGTACATTAGAGTGGGTTTGAGAGGGTTTTATTAAACCTTTATAGGTACAATAGGTTAATATGTGCATATGTATGTATATAATATAGTTTAATTTAAATTGCCTTAAGCAAAAGATTACAGGGGGTTTCCAAGTAGTTATATTATTTCAAACAATTCTCATAATATTAATTTTTTTTGCAGAAACTACAACGAACATTTTCAAAAGTAATTACTTCATTGCAGAAAATAATCGAAGTAAACTCAAAATTATGTTTTTGAAGAAATATTTTATAAGTTAAAAGAAAAAATTACGTGTGCAAAATTTCAGAACGATATCTGAAAAACTGAGGCACTAGTTTGTGTATATACAAATCGACTCAGCTCATCATGCTGATCATTTATATAGGTATGTACTTTCAGCACACTTTTAAAACATCATTTATGTATGTATGTATGTATTACGTCTTCAGATTATGCATTTCGATTTTAATTTCGTTCGAAGAATCTTTAACTCTTTAGATCCTTTCCACTTAATTATATTACTTTTTTTTATTCCACAATTTTTTTTTATTACGTAAGTATATTATTATATAGCTTTTCATATATGTAATTATATACGAATTATTTCTCACTCTTGTAATTGAAACATCTTAACACTAGCTTTTCACACTTACCTCGTCTTCAAGAACGGCATTATAATGCCTGCCGCCGTCGCCACCAATAACAGTACCACTTGTAATACAGTTAAAACGACATTAATGAGCTTGACGACAAGCGCTCGTGCATTCGAATTGTCTATACCCTCGACGGTCACATACTGTTGTTGTGATAAATGTTCCATTTTGGATATCTAAGTTGGAGATATACGAAATTCATAAGATTAATGAATATTGAAGTATATTTCAAATTATTATAATAAAATGCGCTAAACGGCGCCATTACAAATAAATGCAAAAGAAATTACAAATATACATATGTACATACATATACATATATATGTTGTATGGAAATGTTGACTATTACTTTTAGGAATATTAATTCCATTGCACTCACCCGGGTTTGGCAATTTTCCAGTACTTCATTAACGTCGCGCAGTCGCTCGTCACTTTGATATTGCACCTTTTCCTCCATATCCGCAATTGTTTGCTTTAGGTTTTCGATTTCATTCTGTAGCAGTAGCAATATGAAAATAAGGATAATGAAATTAGTGCAGTTATGGTAGTTTTTATCTTCTTTTTCTCGTACATACCTGATGCAGTTCGGTTAAATCGTTAATTTGCTCCTCTAAACTTTCGGCGCGGTAACGTTCTCCTTCTAGCGTTGCAGTTAAATTGTTTAATTCCTTTTGTGCTGTCTAGAAAATGAAATACAATATAAAAAACGTTCATGCTTAGCTTAGAGTGTTTGCATCTATTCAATAAGATATCCACTTGTGAATTTAAAAAAATCGATTTTTTTTGCATATGCTACAGTTACAGACAATAAAATAGAATCAAATTTATATTCACAACTATTTGCTAAAAAAAAACAGTGTTATGACAGTTCTTAAGAGGAACTGGCTCTTAGTTCCTGGAGGTTCCGCTGTCTTTTTGGCAACATTGAGACTTTCTGAGAGAACCTTCCGAAGAGATTATTTTCTAAAAGGCGTCGCGCAACAGTTCTCGAAGAAATTTTTGCAACCTACTCTCTTTAAATACCTACAGAGGACTTGAAAGGATCGCGTTTTGATAAAACCTCTATGTAATTGTCATCCTGAGACGTCGTTCGCCATTTTTGAAGGTTTCAAAGCAGTAGATACAAGTTTTTGGGAGCTTTTTATAATTTTTGAAATTTCCATTTGGATATTACAGTTATTTTGCAAATTTTTTATAAGATTTAGCTCTGCCGCTGTATAGTGCTTTCCTCCGCCCGTTTCTTCTACAGATAATACTTAACTGTAACAAAATGTCAATTTTGAACAAATATTCTAAAGATTATATACTTGCAATATAATTGTTTACTAAATAACGCCTATAATTGATATTTTCATTCCTTGATTCTATTTTTATGTTCCGACAACAAATGCACCGTGTAACAAATATCGTGGTGTTTTAAAATATAAATATTGTATGAATCGATAACAGGCAAAACGTATCCATAATTTATCGGTCAAATTATATATATTATTAATTATTTCGGAACCATCTATTTGATACTATTTTATTGTCAGTAACTGTAGTTTAGGGGATATGAGCGTTTTTGCAAGAATTTTTAAACTCTGTGTGTAATCGGCTCCCATAACTTTAAAGGCGGATTTCTCGAAACGCTGTTTTCAGAGTCGGTGAGGAAAATTCCTCCGAAACGGTTGGACCGATCGACTTGAAATTTAAAACGGCGTTTTTAAATATATTTGTTAGGTAATGATCGACGGAATTCAATTTTTGATAATAATTTCGATTTTTTGAGCACTCTGAAATGTATGGTAAATTTTTTCACAAAAAACCAATTTTTTTGGGAATCCGCTATTTTGTCGAAAATCACAATTTTGACTGGTCCTTCGATCATTACCTGTATTCATCTATTGTCATAATATTTTTTTTTTTTGCTTTTGGATTCAAGACAGAAAAATTTTCCTCATTCCTGGACATCGGCTACGTGATCAGAGAAATCAAAAATTTGTCATAATGAATTCGATCGAATTATTATTAAAGTATGTACATTAAATTCTCTAAATGTACATTTTTTATTTCGATATGTATTTTTGCTACCCAAAATGATTGCTAGTAAGTTAAATTTTTTATCATATTTTAGGTTTCGGACTTACCTCTAGTCTTTCAACGCGCTCTTTTAGTTTCTCGATTTCATCTTTACGCTCAGCCAATTCGGTTAACAGCGATTTAAGCACAAGATGATATTGACTCGCGCCTGATTGACTCTTGCCAGAGCTGGAGGAGAACAAGAAAAGGAGAAAATAATATTAATTATAACATTAAATAAACGACAAATTAAAAATAATAAAGTAGGCGGAATAAATAACAATAAAAACATATACAAATATACGAGCTGCATTATTAATATGCACTTACCCGGCTGGTATGCTCTCGCTGGTGACGCTACTGCATTCACTACCGTTATCGCTATTAAATTTACCGCTACCCGCGCCTCCAGTATTACCCGAACCGGTGGAGGTGGCCGCTATGTTATTATTCGGCGTCGAACTGCCAATCAGTTCAGCATTGACGGGCATGTTAATGTTGTTGATTTCAGTTTCTGGTGCAAAAATAAAAATAAATAATTGCAATAAGAATTAATAATTTATTTGAAAAGTTTATATTTTTTCATAAAAGGGCCCATGAAAATTTAATTATATTTCATTTTTAACTATGAAAGTAAAGCAATTGAAAAAAGCAACGCTTGTGCCTAAATGTAGGCCAGCCCACATGCAATACTTTCATACTCACCTGACATTTGATTAATATTATCAGCGCTACCGAATTTGTTCTTAATTAAATGGGCGAATTCACGTGGCTTAGACATCACGGAGCCGGAAAAGCCGGTAATACCGTCGCGTATATTGCCACCGACATTTCTACAAGCGCGCGGGCGTAAGCAAGGTAGATTATAGTATTAAAGAGGAAATTGAAATGAATTTTTAATTAGAAATATTGTAACATATTTTCAGCTATCTTTTGTGTGTTCTCACCTCAAGCCCTGGCCCACGTCGCGTAACACCTCACGCGGCTGGCGATGTTGACTTTTATTTGCGAATTGATGATTGGTTAGATCTTTCGCCCGCTTCGTGTAGTTGTCAAGTTTCTTTTGTAGCTGCGAAATACTGTGTGCGCTTTTCTGATTTTTCTTCTCGAAAACGGCCTATAATATTGACAAAGTATTTTATAAGTTTCTAAATACATACATATGTATGTACATATGTGCAGAGTGAGTGTACCAGTACATTTTAGGACACCTGCCTTGTTGGCACACCACTTACCTTTATTCGCTGTAATTGTTGCTTATCAGCACTGGCCGCCAACTTCAAATATTCATTCACGTTATCTGCAATATATCAAATATCACAAAAATACGCGATTACTCTTTGTTTCAATTGATGAAGTAAT